GCACCAAGTACAGCATGAGGCAGGAGGGACATGTTGTGGAGCTGCTGGTCCATGGCTTGGACCTGAGTGACAGTGGGGATTATTCCTGTGTGTGTGGAGACCAGACCAGCACGGCTGCCTTAACAGTTCATGGTAACGTAATCCTTGGGGTGAACATCCTCCAAACCTGCCCAAATCTCTGCTGCCGCGGTCTGTTCCTGTCCCTTTCTGTTTGCTTTGGTTCCTTTGGACTCTCTGAGCTTCCTCCTTTTGTAGGGTTGGAAAAAACATTCCCTACTGGTGTTTGTCCCCCTCAGCTCTGCTGGTTCACATCACTTTCCTTGCCCTGATCCAGTGTTCAGGGAAGCTGGGGAAGATTTTCCATTGTGTTCCACTGACCTGGATCAGGGCTTGGTATTGGCCCATGAAACCTCTCCCCCAGGACCTCACCAAGCTGCTTTTTAAGGAAAATTCACCCCCTCTGTGGTAACTCTTTTGCTCTTCAGTGCTGCCTCCAGAATTCAAGAGAGAGCTGAAGGACCTGGAAGCTGTGGAAAATGGCACAGCTGCTCTGCAGTGTGAGCTGACAAAACCTGCTGAGGTGGAGTGGAAGAAAGGGCAGGAGGTGCTCAAAGACAGCAGAAAATATGAAATGAGGCAGGATGGTGCTGTTGCAAAGCTGGTTATCCATGAGCTGGAGGAGCAGGATGCTGGAGTTTACACCTGTGTGTGTGGAGATCAGCAGACAACTGCCACCCTGACAGTCAATGGTAAAAAACTAAAGGGAAAAGACTGTAAAATAAGAATAATAACTGTGGTTTAATGTTGCTTAAGGAAAATATTGTAAATAATAAGGTGTGCAGAATAGCCTGGTGTATGCAGCTCATGGAGTGGCCAGGCAGAAAATGGGAATTGCAATCAGAACTAAGTGCATTTTTCCTGTATTTTGCTGTCAGAATAATCAAAATCTCTCCTGCAAGTGGCCTGCCTTAAGAGGGACTCTGAACCTTTAAAATTCCCTGCCTTAAGAAGGAGTATGAACTCTTGCAAGTCTCTGTGTTAGGAGGGAATCTGAACTCTGAAAATTCCCTGCTGATCTTCAAAACACTTCTTCAGTGACCAGGGCAGCATACTGGCTACTTTTACAGTAGGAAAACTATTATTCCATTTTTAGATCATAGATTAGGTCCTATATATTTCATGGCAAATGTAACTTCTTGAAATCCATTTCTTCCTGTTCTGCAGATATTACTTCTCTGGGGAAATAGCTTTGTTGTTTGAATTTAGAGCATTGAGGTTTAGAGACATCTGGGAAAAAAACCCCTCTCTTTTGGTGCCATCATTTTCCCCTCTGCTTCCTCTTTCCCAAGCCCCCAGCTGCAGTAGGTCCAAATCACATTTCTGTTTTATAGCCCTCCCAGCCCTTTTCAAGCAAGAGCTTCAGGACACCGAGGCAGAAGAAAGTGGCACAGTGACACTGAGGTGTGAGCTCACCAAACCCAAGGCCCCGGTGGAGTGGAGGAAAGGGGATGTGACCCTGTACCCTGGTCTGAAATACGAGATGAGGCAGCAGGGCTGTGCTGCTGAACTGGTCATTTATGACCTGGAACTGGACGATTCAGGAATTTACACCTGTGACTCCGGACACCAGCGGACAACGGCTGTGGTGGCCGTGCATGGTAGGCAGAGGTGGCCCTTGGCTCAGTAGGAGTGGAGTGAAAGGAGCTTTTCCTGGTGTTCTCTTCAGCCATTGATTTGTTTTGCTGCTGGCCCAGGCCAGAATAAATGTTCTTCGTGGGCGTGGCACACAGCAAGGTGGAAAGATTCTCCTTGCAGTATCTGAAGTGTGAAAGCAATTAAATCATAGAATTTCGAAATAGTTTGGGCTGGAAAGGACTCTAAAGCTTATTTCATTCCATGGGCAGGGACAGCTTCCACTAGACCAGGTTGTTCACAGCCTCAACCAAGCTGTCCTTGAATGCTGTATTGATGTAAAAATAGCGTGATCCCTCCTGCCCTGAGTGCAGGGAGTGTGGCTGGATATGGAAATGGGATAAGGGATGCCGAATTGGATGTAATGCCTGCCTGGGATGGCAAGAGATGCACCAATTAGGGGATTCCTGTGATATATGAATTACTAACTTGGGTTTTTATACATTGATAGAAGCCTTATTGGGGACAGAAATTCTCTTTTTTTAATGTTGCAAACTCACAGAACTCTATTAAGGGACGGGGATCTGTGTAAGAGAGGCCGTTCCAGGTGATCTTTGCCTAAAGCATCCATGGCTGGCATGGAAACTCTTCCACAGGAAAGTCTGACTCCTTCAGACCCCAAACCAGGCCATTCTGTTGACCACTAAAACCAGGTCTTTCTTAACTTTGCCTGTCCCCAGCTCTTGCTTCCCTTAGTGGTTCAAGAAAGATTTTGCCAAGACAGAGAGTTGCCTCCCCAGGATTATGGAATCATTAGGACAAGCCATACCTGAAGGATGAGGGTAGGACTGGATCCTTCTTGCACTAAAACACTCTTGAAACGTTTTCCTCTCAAATTTTACAGCACTGCCCATCACGTTTAAGCAACCTTTACAAAATAAGGAGTTTGAGGAAGGAAGCACAGCCACGTTCTGCTGTGAGCTGTCGAAACCCAGTGCTGCAGTGGAATGGAGGAAAGGAGGCGTGGGGCTGCAGCCCAGCCAGAAATACGAAATGAGGCAGAGGGGATGCCTGGTAGAGCTCTTGATACACAATCTCAGATTAGAAGACACAGGAGAATACAGCTGTGACACAGGGGATCAGGAAACCAGAGCAGCTCTGAATGTGAAAGGTACGTGGTGTGAGCTGACTCCTAAAGGAATTTTCTTTTCTCCAGCAAGCAAAACAACCATTTCAATATGAATATTTTTAATTGCATTATTCTTGTTCTCTATGAATATTTTCCTTTTCGTCTGATTTATTAGGATGGTTTTTATTTTTAATGAGAATGGAAGAGGACGATACTTTGTTCTACCAGTGCTGTGTTTGAGTTTTGGGTTCTAATGGAAATATTTTCAAGCTCTGTGCCTGAGGAGAAATTAAAGAAAAAGCAATGATTTAACGTAACATCTGGACATTTCACATGACATGTTGTTTGAATATTTAAAAGGAATATTTTCTTTCAAATCCCATAAGAAGATGCAACATCCCTGACCTCTCAAGGCTGTCCACAGAGTTTTAAAGTTCTTTGATCTCTTGATCATTGTTAGATCGACTGAGGGATCAAATCATTCAATGAATTCACCACTGGGAAGGATTTGAGTCAAGGAACAAAGGAAATAAATGTCATGGGTGCAGATGGCTTCTTCTGGTGCAGCAAGATCTCCTAGTTGCAGCAGGAAAATTAGAAAACGTGGATCCTACCTAGAAACACCACAGTGAAAAGCAGAGTACCTTGTTCTCCAAGTACCAGTCTGTGTTAACCAGGACTTGACTCAGGCTCCACTAAAAGATCCTGTTGATCCTCTTCTTTTCTCTTTTAGCTCTGCCAGTTCTTTTCCAAAAGCAGCTCAAAGACGAGGAGGCAGAAGAAGGAGCCGCGGTGAAATTCCAGTGTGAGCTGACAAAGGATAACGCGGCTGTGGAGTGGAGGAAAGGCACCATGGAGCTCTTCCCGTGTGCTAAATATGAAATTAAATTAAGTGGGCGCACAGCTGAGCTTGTGATCCACAATATAGAGCCAGAGGATGCCTCTGATTACACTTGTGACACGGGAGACCAGCAGAGCACTGCAGTCCTCAGAGTGAATGGTTAGCATTGCACCCGCCTGGGATGGAGGAGAACAGGCATTGGTGGAACTGTGTGAATGATGTTATTTATTCCAAAAGTTGAGATAACGAGGAGAAGAGCTGCCCAGTCATAAAGCAGAGTACAGAAAAGTGGATCTGGTGGGATAGGGTTCCTATCTTAGTCTGTAAAGCACAGAGTGCAGTGCACTGACCCTTTCCTCTGATATGATAAAAGCAAGGAATTCTGCGTCGTGGGGATTTTGAAATAGCAACAAAACTTTTTTTTGGCACTTTGCAATTTTTCTGGCTCACTTGAATCAATAGCAAAATCACACATAGTTTAAAAAAGCATTTTGGGGGTGCTATTTTTAATCTCCCTGTGAAAATCCTGAGAATGCTGTGTTCAGCCAAACCAGGAATGATGTCTGTGAGTGATCACAGAATCACAGAACGGGTCACTGGTCCAACCTCCCTGCTAAAACAGGGCCATCCCAGCACCTCCTATGAAATATCTGTGATGATCTCAAAGTTGGGTGGAATTTGTGGCTTTGATCTAAGCCATAACCTTTCAAACAACATATTTTTGCTGCCTCTGACTCAAAAAAGCAGCCACAGGGTCAAACTATGGGTGAAAGACCCCAGTGATTGCTTTACCTGTCTTGCAGTAGTTTTTTTTACTGGAGCCACAGGCACTGGGATTGCTGCTTTTCCAACTGCTCACACACACCCCATGGATATCCCCTTCCTGTTTCCATCAGTGACAAGCTGTTGTCTGAGCTGTTCCACGCTCTACTTGAATAAATGTCCATTTGTGCATCATCTGGAAGGGCTCACCGATGATGATCTGGGTCTTGAAAAGACAGCTGAGAAATCAGAAATTAGTTTAAAGCTTTACAATATTTAGCTGTTGAAAATCAGGAGTATTTCTGTAAAAGAGAACAGATTCGCACTGGTTTAAACAGAAAGTGCCAGGTTTTGCTCAGTCAAAACCTTTGTGTGTTGGAGTTTCCAATATGCTGAGCAGAGGCATGAAAGGATGCCCTGGACTTTATGGGATATAAAGATATCTGGGGAGCTTTCTGATCCTCTGGATGTACACAATATAGGTCTGTTTATGGGGAAAATAAATGGTTTTATTATCACATCACCACTTAATGCAAAATTGCACTGCAACACCAGAGCCCAGGTGCCTTGTGCTGAGCTGTGCAGACCTGGCATTCAAGCAAACAGCTCATATATTATTTATTTCTCATTTTACAGCCATCAAACCCCAGCTGAAGCAGCAGCTGAGGAACGAGGAAGTGGAAGTGGGAGGAACAGCCAGGCTGCGCTGCGAGATTTCCATCAGCAAAGCAGAAGTGGAGTGGAGGAAGGATGGAGTCCTCCTGCATTCCAGCTCCAAGTATGAAATGTGGCAGGATGGGACCCTCCGGGAGCTCCGTGTTCACCACCTGGAGCCTGGGGATGCTGGAGAATATTCCTGCAAGGCTGGAGACCAGACCAGCTCTGCCAAACTCATCGTGAAAGGCAAGATTTGTTTATCGGAACAAGGAGATTTTCCCTTTAGGAAACTAAGATTTCACAACATGATAAAGTTATATACACATACATTACATAAAGTGAGTTATCGTGATCAACAGAGCATAGGAAGGGTATCATAAAAAAAAATCTTATGGTCAGTGGATGCACCAAAGCAAAGATTGAGTTGGAGGACAGGAGAGGATAAAGCAGCTGTAATCTGTGACTCATGGCTTGGAATATTTGCTTGACATCATATGCATGGGGCAGAACAGATGGTCCAGCCCCAGCTTCCAGTCACATGGCAGCTGCATCTGGCCTTAATATCATTGCAGAGCTTAGGTTGGACCAGTGGTGTGGAACAAACACCCTCAGCATCTCCACGGGCTGCTCCACGTCGTAGATCCCCCACACATCACACCCAGCTGCACCATTTTTCTTGCAGATGGTGACCTCAGTTGTAGGAATATCCACTGTGCTTGCTCAGGGGAGATTGGGCTGCTTTTTTGGATGGTTTGACTTGATTTTAGAGGTCTTTTCCAACCTTGTCGTTCCGATTGGGAACAGCTTTAAAGAACGACAATGGACTCTCAAGGGAGTTACAACAGGAGAATTCCTAGTTTATTGCTTCAGCCCTGTCTTATAGACAGATACGTGGAAAGTACAGAAAAGAAACTCTTATTGGTTAACAAAGTACTACATTACCATCATTGGTCAGGGGCACTTTGCTCCCCCTGACTCTCTCCTGCAAGGAGAAAAACAACACCTGCAAGGCTGTTTAGTATCTCTGAGAATTGTTTTAATTCTTTCTCATGAATTTCTCAGGCTAGCCTTCAGTCAGGCCTGAGAGCTATGTGGCCTGTAATAACTACAGGCACTCTAGTTCAAATTTAGCATCCATAAACCTTAGTGATTTTATGATTCCTTTGGTCTTCCCCAAAGTGGTGGGTCTGGGGTATTTACAGCTGCTGCCTGCTGGGGTTGTCTGTGTGACCCTTGCACAGGTGCCCAGATGTCCTAGAGGCAGGACTCAGGCAAACTGCAGTGCAGGAGCCCTGTGCTCACATTAACATCGTGAGTCCTGCTGGGAGGACAAAGCCAGCCACAGCCTCAGCCAGTTTGGAGCATCAGCATGGAGTAAATCCAAATCTGTTCACAGAAATACAATAGAGAGGATCAGGCTTTGACGTTGTCCTGTGAAGATGTCTCAGTGTAAACGGAACAAATTTCAAAATCCTGATTTTGGCATCCAGCATTCATGCCTTTTTCACCCAATGAAGTATAATTTAAAAAAAAAAACAATATGCAATGTGTCTCTTAACAAGGACAAGTGGTAAAGCCATTATCCAAAAGTCATTTGCCCTGTTGCCAAGTACACTGAAAGCAGAATTCCAGAGAAATGTGGTTTGAGAGTCTGTGCTGTCTCTACCCTTGGAGGTCCTTGAAGAACAAGGTACTGAGCAACCTGGGCCTGCTTTGAGCAGTGGTTGCAGCAGGTGACTTCCAAAAGTCCGCTGCAGCCTGCATTATTCATGGTTCCATGATTTGATCCACGTGTTGTGGTGACACTGGTGGTTGGGTTCCTTTCCCCAGGACTGAGACTGATGAGACAGAGGCTGTTTTCTCACGTTCAGGCCTTTTATGTGTCTATTTGTCCAGTAATCAAATGCCAAGTAAATTATTAATTTTAATGACCCAGTGACCAAACACCTGTGTGCTGCACTGCGGAATTCTTTATCCAATCACTCATTATTACCCAAAAACCCTTAGAAGAAGAAGGAGAAAGGGACAATGCCCTAAATCCTCCACATTGTCTCTTATTCACTAATATAGCTTAAACTCTAAACTTGAACTTTCTCACCCAGTGACTTAAGAAAGCTCTTCACACACCCACACTATTAGTTTCTTTACTTAACTTTAAAAGCTGTCTCCACAGTTTTAGGCTAAGCTCAGTGCTCTCTTGGGTATCAGAGACAGGCAACACAGATAGGGGTCTATTTTCTGTGCCTCTGACCATGTTTTTTCCTTTTATCTCCTGTTTCTGCCTCCTTGCAGAGCCTGATGTGACCATCGTGAGTGGCCTCAGGGACACGGTGGTGTCCGAAGGGGACGATGTCACCTTTCGGTGCCAGGTTTCCCACGAGAACGCCAGGGATGTCGAGTGGAAGCTGCAGGATGTGGCTCTGCAGAACAACGAGATGAACGAGATCTCGGTGGAAAAGGGGAAGATCCACACCCTGACGCTGAGGAAGGTGACTGAGCAGGACATTGGCACTGTCACCTTCCGGGTGGGACCCCACACGTCGACAGCAGAGCTCAGAGTGAAAGGTGAGGGCTCCCTGTGGTGTAGGACAGGATCGGTGGGAACAGGGGATGCTTTGCTTATTTTATATTTATTTGCTTCTTTAATATATTTGTTTGCTTATTTAATATATTTATTTTATATTAATTTGCTGGCAGCAAATTCAAGGCCATCATTTCACCCCTCGTGTCTCGGGGGTGCTTGTGCTTCAAAGCATCTGTGACTGCAAATCACCAGGGATGAACGGGGGGCATTTCACCATCTCACTTATTCCTGGAGAAATTCTAGCTTGGCTTCACTACTTGGGTAGATAGACCTGGAATTTTCATTGCTTCCACAACCCCTATGAGAATTATGGAATAATTTGGGTTTGGAGGGACCTATAAAATCCCTCCACATCTTCAACCAGATCAGGTTGCTCAGATCTGTTTCTTAAATTTTTCTTTTGCTAAACATTGTTTTGATTAAATTCCCCATCCAAAATCTTTCTCCTTCCTTCTTAGAAGCTTCCTTTAGCCCCTTAGTAAATAACACAGAAGTCAGAGGATTTTTTGAATACTCAACCACTCAGCTGTAGCTTTAACACCACAGAAAATGAGACAAAGGTGCCTGGAAAACAAAGCAAAAAAAACCAAAGCAAACAAATCCTTTGCTTTGTTTGTAATTTCAGTGCCACCTCCAGTCTTTAAAGAGAAACTGCAGAGCAGGGAAGTGCAGGAGGAGGACACAGCTGTCCTCTGCTGCCAGCTCTCCCAGCCCAGGGCTGAGGTGAAATGGAAAAAGCATCCTCAGGTGATGCCCCCAAGCTCCAACTATGAAACAAGGAGGGAACAACTCCATACTTTAAAGATTTACCATTTAAAACCAGAAGAATCTGGCAAATACACCTGTGATAATGGAAATGAACAAACAACCTTTTGACTGTTAAAGGTGGGTTGTGTTGGGGGGTTTGTTTAAGATAAGAAACTTGCTCCACACCCTTAGTTAGGCTCTGCCAAGAGGATTTTTTTTACTGTCCACGACTTCAGACATGCTGTGCTGTCAAAAGTAGCTGAGCCCTTTTGCTTTTGCAAGCCCTGTGGTGCCTTAAGCAAAGAAAATGCAGGGACACAAGTGCAGGAATTACTTCCACACTTTGACACCCTATGGTCTCTCTCTGGTCACTCAGACTACCAGGGCTGGAGCTGAAATTAAGGACTATTTTTGATGCTTAATCATCCTCTGAGCTTCAGTTCTGCCTGGAGGAATGGTAATCCAGGTGAAATTGTTCAAACTTGGACACAACTGCAGCTAATGAACAAGGCACCTAAACACTTTTAGTGCCAAAGATCTTAAAAATGGGTGCAATGTGACAATTTATGTCTTTTTTCAAATCTGATCTGATAAAAATGCAGTATGAAGGTGACTTTTTCTGAGACACATGATCAGGAAGAACAAAGATAAGCCAGGATATTGTTAAATCCCACCTTTTGAAATATCTCTGAGGGCTGTCCCATGAAGGGCACGCACCTGCCTGCAGTCAGACTCCACAGCTCAAGGCTATCAGAATATTGGTGCTGTAAGCAGGTCCTCTGGTGGTGTTGTCCAATTTGTGTCTCTCTGTGTGGTCTCAGCCACTCCAGCACTCCTTGAACAAAATTCCAAACCCAGGAAGCTGGGCAATCCTGTCTGTGCAGTCACAATGTATAATAATAATAATAATAATAATAATAATAATAATAATAATAATAATAATAATGTATTTTTTCAGCCAATTGGCTGAATTCATGTTTACACATATTTTAATACCAATAAGTGTGGACCCACTGAGGTTCTTCCAGGGAACTGGACTTGAGGAGCTAAACTTCCACATGTGACACCTCATAAATCCACCCATCAAAACTCCACCTTGACCCACCGGTGATAACATCAGCACAGAGACTTCCAGGGTTCCCTTTCTCAGCTGGTCCAGTTTTCAAATAAAGAATACTATAGAAAGATGTTTCTCCATGCCCTTTCCCAAATACACAAGAACTTCAATATCTGTTCATATTAGGCTTTTGAGGTCTGGTTTTGGTACCCTTTGGAGACACATGCTCTGAGATGCTCAAAACTCTGTATCCACAACCATTCCTGTGCAAGAAGGAGCACAGTCCTTGAGGTGCTCAGTGTATGCAGTATCCAGTGGTTCTTCAGGGGTGCTTAGAGCTCCTGGAAATCCAGCACTTACTGTCATTCCTTGTTTTGCTTTTAAACTACCTTTGGAACTGAGTTTGAACCAAATTTAGGACGGCACCAGAGTTTCACCAAACACAAGGCTTAGTTACGCAGACAGCAATGACACAGGATTCTTTTTGATTTCTCCTGCTGTAGCTTCTCCAGTCACCTTCACACAGCCACTCCAGAACCAACAAGCTGAGGAAGGCAGCACCGTCACTTTGAGCTGCGAGGTCTCCAAATCCAACACTACCGTGCAGTGGAAGAAGGCAGGGACAGTGCTGAGACCCAGCGACAAATACAAGATGCGTCAGGAGGGCTCCGTGGCTGAGCTGACAATTCACAACCTGAGCGAAGCTGATGCTGGGGAGTACACCTGTGACGCAGGGGAGCAGCAAACCACGGCAGCAGTGCACCTGAAAGGTGGGGCTTTGCATGGGGAGGAGCTGGGCACAGCTTGGCACCAGGGCAGGGGCACAGGATTGAGTGATTTGGCAGCTAAACTTTGTCCTGTGCCCAATGAGAACCACGGGGATCTCGGAGATTAGAGAAGTTTCAGAGGGCTAAGAACTGGGTCGGTTACCTCCAGAAATGGGTTTTTAGTCACTGATCCTGTGACACATCTGTAGCATTGTAATATGTTGCTACGTGCCTGTGTGCCTACATTTCCATGAGTTTGGAATAATTTAATCACAGCATGGTTTGGCTTGGAAGGGACCTTCAAGATAATTGAAGGCCATGGGCAGGGACACTTTGCACTATCCCAGGTTGCTCCAGGCCCTGTCCAACCTGGCCTTGGATACTTCCAGGGATCCAGGGGCAGTCACAGCTTTTCTGGGTGCCCTGTGCTGAAGCCTCTGCACCCTCACAGGGAACAATTTCTTTCTAATATCTAAGCTAACCACAGGGAACAATTTCTTTCTAATATCTAAGCTAACCCTGCCCTCTTTCAGTTTGAAACCATTCCCCATTTTTCTGTCACTATCTACCCCTTCTCCCTCCTTTTTCTTAAGCCCCCATAAGCCTTCTCTTCCCAGCTGAGCACCCCCAGATTTATAATTTAGGGCCTCAAATAACATCAACGTATTGTCAAGAAAGAGCCTAAGGACATGTTTAACCCAGGAAGCATCACTTGAAAGTAGAACTCAAACTCTGTTGCCCTTTCCATGAAGAACCAGCAGCCACCATCGTGGAGAGGCTGAAGGACGTCGCCACGTACGAAGGAGAAGACGCGGTGTTCGAGTGCAGGCTGTCCCGGGAAACGGCTCAGGATGCCCAGTGGTTCCTGGGGGATGTTCCCCTGCAATCCAACGAAATGAATGAGATCAGAGTGCAAGGCACACGCCACAGTTTGATCCTGAGGAAGGTGACCCTAGAAGACTGTGGGTCCATCTGTTTCAAAGTGGGGCAGCATTCGTCAGCAGCACAGCTGAAGGTGGAAGGTGAGCAGCCTCCCAGGAAGAGCGGTTGGGCAGGCACTGGCAGGTGCTGCTTTGACTTCTGGAGAGGTGTATTTGGGATTAGGGAACCTTGGAAATTTTGGGAGACTCTGCTAATGTAATTTAGCAATATAGAGAGGTACATCTGAGCCAGTCAGTCCAATAGTTTTTATTCTACATGGAAAAAAGATTAATATTAACATCCCTTGATGTTGCTATAATAATTAATATTAACATCCTTTGATGTTATTTGATATAATTAATATTAATATCCTTTGATGTTATTTGATATAATAAATAACATTAGCATCCTTTGAAGACCATCCAACTAAGCAGCTGATCATGTGTCAGAATCAATGCTGAAGAGTGTCAAGAATATGCTCTGGACTAATTTCCTACTTATGATGCTTTTAGATCATATTTGCAAAAAAAAAAAAAAGCCTGAAAGCTCTGAAAAACCTTTCTTTTAAGATACAAAGAACGATTTTTGAAAGATGGCCCATGCCAACGCCTTGTGTTGTTTGTTCCTCTTCGATCTGGTTCCCAATGTAACCACAGACACCCAGCTCTGCCCGGGGGCTGATGCTGGGTGAGGATGCTGCAGCAGTGCTGCTCCCCTCTCCCCACAGCTGCCCCGGTCACCTTTGTGAAGGCACTGCACAACCTGGAGCTGCAGGAGGGTGGCACTGCCCACCTGTCCTGCGAGGTGTCCAGGCCTGATGTCCCCGTGGAGTGGAAGAAGGGCACATCTGTGATCCACTCCAGCCACAAGTGCAGCATCCAGCAGGAGGGGAAGGTGCACACGCTGGTCATCTGCGACCTGAACCGCGCCGACTCCGGGGAATACAGCTGCCACACGGCTGCTGGCAAGACCACGGCCAGACTGGAGGTCAAAGGTATGGGTTCCTCTCTTCCCAGCAGTGGTGAGAGGAGGGAACATCAATTTTTAGGACTCTGTACTACAAGAGAGACACTGATCAGTGGAGCATGTGCAGCAGAATCCACCAAGTTTGTCAGGGGGCTGGAGTGTGTGAAGTACATGGACAAACTCTGTTGTGATAGGGCAGGGGGTGATGGTTTTAAACAAAAAAGGGGGACAATTTAAATTAGGTATAAGAAAGATATTTTTTACAATATGGATGGTGGTGATGGCCTGGCACAGGATGCCCAGAGAAGCTGTGGCTGCCCCTGGATCCCTGAAAATGTCCAAGGCCAGGCTGGATGGTGCTTGGAGCATCCTGGGATAGTGGAAGTTGTCCCTGACTGTGGCAGGATTTGGAAAAAGATGATAGTACCTTCTAATTTAAACTCTTCTGGGATCTAAGTATAAGCAGAGGCAAGAGCAGCTGTGTTTGATAATGAGGGAAGAGAAAGTGGAAGGGAGACCTCATTGCTCTCTGCAGCTTCATAGTGGAGATCTACAGAGGAGAGAGACACAGAACTTTCATGGAGGGCTCAGTAAAAGGATGACAGGCAGCAAGTGCAAGCTGCAGTGAGAGGAATCCAGATTAGGAAAAACCCAATTTTTAACATGAAGTGGGTCAGACATTAGAACTGAGACTGAGAGGAGTGGAGGAGTCTCCATCCATGGGGTCCTCCAGAGGTCCCTTCAAGCCTTAATTATTCTGTAATTCATCTCTGGCTGCAAGACCTGAAGCCTTGGATTGTAACCCCAGATTTATATATTCTATATATATTCTAATATTCTAATACAATCTACATATACTATTTTCCATATTAACATTTTATATAATATAGAAATTATATTTTCTATATTATTTTATTATACATATATATAGCCTACATGTTCTGTATATTCTCTATTCTAATATATTCTATATTTTCTAATTTTCTGATACGTTCTATATAGTGTAAAATTATATATTAATATGTATTTTATATATACATATATATATATATACATGTATATATATTTTATATTTTTATATATATTTCTATGTTCTTTGAGTGATTTTATTTCATTCTATGATTTTATTTCAAGGATGGGCAGCTAACTGGGCTTCAGGAATAATTACTGAATTTAGCTGGGAATTCTTTGTGAAAAGAAGTCCAGGATATAGGGAGAGAAATTAGCTTACATAGAAGTCAAATTTTTCTTGCTGATTAACTCCCCTTCCTCCTCCTCCTCCTCTGTCTAGGTTTGACTTGGAAGCTCCTAGGGAAACCCAGCCAGAATTGACCATGAACTTCATGAACAGCTCTACCTTAACAAATAAAACATTCCTCTGTTATCTGTTTTTGCCTCACCCATTTTTTCCCCCCTTTCCAGGCCTGCCTGTGCTGTTCAAGCAGTGGCTGAAGAACGAGGAGGTGGAGGAAGGGCGCACGGCCGTGCTGCGCTGCGAGCTCACGCGGCCCCACGCGCGCCTGGAGTGGAGGAAAGGGGACACGGTGCTGCAGCCCGGGGACAAGTACGAGATCCGGCAGGAGGGGACACGAGCTGAGCTCCTCATCTACGAGGCTGAGGCTCAGGATGCTGGAGAATACACCTGTGACTCGGGGGATCAGCAAACCACGGCTTCGCTGCAGGTCAAAGGTAGGGCAAGGCTTGTTTGGGGGCAGAGAAGGTCTGGATGTGTCCATCCTTCACAGAGGGGGATCCTGGAATCATCCAGGGCAGGCTGGATGGGGCTCTGAGAGACCTGGTCTAGTGCAAGGTTCCCTGCTCATGGCAGGGGGATGGAACTGGATCTTTAAGACCCTTTCCAACAGAAACCATTTTCTGATTTAGTTGGAAAAAGATCTCTGAGATCAGTGAGCCCAACCATTAACTCAACTCTCACAAGTCCACCACTAACCCATGTCCCCAAGTGCCACATCTACATGGAAATTTCATTACTGAGTTATCATTGACCCTCTGTGAAATCAAACTGGAGTATTTCACCATGCCTAGGACAAGTCCATTTTAAACTGATCCATTGTATCTCTTAGTGCCTGAGCAGCCCATGGATTGTTTCTCTTTACCTTTCTTGTGGCTGTGGTTTTGGATTTTATAGTTTTAATCATTTTGTATTAAGAATTCTATGGTTTTGGATTTTACAGCTTTATTCATTTTCTACTAAGAACTCATTTATTTTCTACTAAGAACTCTATGGGTTTGTGATTTTACAGTTTTATTCATTTTGTGCTTAGAATTCTATATCTTTTAGATTAGATCACACTTGTAGATTGTGGTTTTGGTCACCATAACTAGCTCCTGCTCAGAGCATGTGGTTTCAGAGATTAAACACCCAAAATCTCATGTGCCAGCTAAGGGAACTGTGTTTTTTTAACCTGGAAAAAAGGAGGTTTGTGGAAAGATGCTATCGCTCTCTGCAACTACTGACAGGAGGTTGTAGTGAGGTAAAGTCTGGTTTATTTTCACAAGTAACAAGCAATAGGATGAGAGGAAATGCCCTCAAGTTGCACCAGAGGGGTTTAGATTTGATATTAAGAAATAATTCTTCACTGAAAGGGGTGGCCAGGCATTGGCACAGACTGCCCAGAGAAGCAGTGGAGTCACCATCCCTGGAGATATTTAAAAGATGTCTAGATATGACACTTGGGGACGCCATTCAGTGATGGATTTGGCTGTCCTGGGTTAGTGGCTGGACTTGATCCTAGAGGTCTTTTCCAACCTAAAGGGTTCTGACTCCCATTGTTGTGATTGGTGACGTTGTGCTCCATGTGCTCGCACTGAGAATGGTCAGTATGGCCACGTGGAGACCTTCAGAGGCCCTGTGACCTCTGGCAGCCCTTTATGGAGCAGCACTGGACACCTCTGCAGTATCAGCAGCTGATTCCATGAGTGGCCAGCAGGCAAACTGTGGTTGAGAAAGAGGGGAACAGCCTAGCTGCAGAAGGTTACAAGCAGGTTTCTCACCTCTGAGTGCTGTCACTGATGCAGTTGCTTCTCCACCACAGTACTGCCAGTGCTGTTTAACAAAGAGCTGAAAAACGTAGAGACTGAAGAAGGGGGAACGGCAGTTTTGCACTGTGAGATCTCCAAGCCCGACGCTCCCGTTGAGTGGAGGAAAGGAGGGGTGGTCATTCAGCCCAGTGACAAGTACGAGGTGCAGCTGAAGGGCAGCGTAGCTGAGCTGATCATCCATGGTGTAGAGCCTGATGACTGTGGGGATTATACCTGCAGCACTGGATACGAGATCACCACAGGGTCTGTGTATGTGCAAGGTAAGGTGGTGAAACACGGTGGAAATGCTTTTCTGCCTGGATTTCTTACTCCAAAATCTTTGACAGTAGCTGGCCAAACAGCAGAAAGTCCATTCATTTCTTTCCTGGTGCCAGTGAAGATATAAACACTCATCTCCGGGCTGGGGTTCAACCCATATTTTTAAGTTAAACTAGTTTAAAGTACTGAATGTACTATGTTTCAGAACAGATGGTGGTACTGCTGAAAAACTTGGAGCAGTGGTTGTAAAAAATCCTGAAATTCTTGTTACAACTGATTGCGGCTTCTATCATTGTTGATAATCTTATTACTCCTTTAAAGCACCCAAGTGAACATTTAAATCTTTAAGTACCTCTCTGCCTCATACAACTTCTGCAGATGGCTGCAACACCCAGGAGAGCCAGGCATGACCTGGGCAAGGAGTGAAGTTTCCCCACAGAGAAATGATGTTTGCAGATACTCACACTGCTCCTACAAGCAGCTGGAGGCATGGAGGGTGGTTTCAAACCCTCTTCAAGAAAGTATTAGATCTTTTTTTCCCTTGGAAAAGCACTACAAGTTTAACTCTCGTGGAGTTGCCCTTGGGCTCGGGTTAATCCTGCGGGGAGCGGCTCGTGCTTGTTTGTTTTTGTTTTCCTTTGGCACCTTCTCTTGCTCTGTCGCGCAGAAGAAGCAGCAGAGATAGTGTCTGGTTTAAGGAACACAGATGTCTTTGTGGGCGAGTCAGCCACGTTCTCCTGCGAGCTCTCGCACCCGGGCGTGAAGAACGTGCAGTGGTGGCTGGATGGGACCCCCCTTCACAACAACCTGGTGACCGAAATCTCTGAGCAGGACGGCAGGATCCACACTTTAACCCTAAATGACGTGGCGTGCCATGACTCTGGCACTGTCACCTTCAGAGCTGGGTCCCTTATTTCTTCAGCTAAATTATTAGTCAAAGGTATTTCCCTGTTAGCAAGAAACATGCGGCCACCTCTGGACTTGCTCCATGTGCTGGTGCTTCTGCCTTCCAGGCTACCCTTACTAAATCCCTTCACGGTTCTCCTGTGCCCTGCAACCCTCCCACTCTGCAAGTCACCCACTCTCACCCCAGAATTCTTCTGGGTACAGCCACGCTAATTTTTGCAGTGGTTCAGGTGAGGGAGGGTTGCAGGCTCAGGGCTGCTGCTTTCACCTGATGTCAAAGAAGAGATGAACATAAACATCTGTGGTAGCGCCTGACTTGATGTCCCCACTTCAGCTTTTTTTTCACAATACCACAAAATCTTGCAGAGGTGGTAATTCCCAAAATTACCACAGCTCCACAGCTGGGCTACTGGTGCTGGGCTCAGCATGTTCCCAGGATGGGATTTGGGGCTGTTCCTGGAAACCAACAGGTGTGTGACATTCCAGTGACACAGAGACAAAATGTGCCTCTCTTTTGAAAGCTCATCCCTGCACTGGCAAATCTTTCTGGTCTGTTGAATAAATATTTTTCCCATTTGGTAAGGGTAGCCAAAAGCTGCAAATAACACTGAGCTCCAGACCTGATAAAGCAAGCTCCTTCCCACCCAGTCCTTTTATAGCCATGGGGAAGATCTGCTATTTTTCAGGCAAAATTAAGGCTTATGCCCTGCTTGGAAAAAGGGACATATATGGAGATAAAAAGGCTTAAAAAATCTATATTCAAATGTACTCCTGTGCTATAACTGGGCCATAACAGGAATGATCCACGATATGGAATTGTAGTCAGTGGTTGATGTCTCCTTCTCTGCGTCATGTGTCTCTTGTACATTCAGGAAATTTGGTTCTCTGCAAAGATAAAATGCAAAATCACTTCTTCATGATATAGAATGATGCAGTGACAACACAGTGCACAGACCCTATGAGTCCTGTGCCAGTTTGCTTCCATTTTCAGAGGCACAACCAGGTTCTGAGCTCTCCAGACAAAGAATTCCAGTGGCCCTAGAACATAAATTAAATTAAGTAATTGTAAATGTAAATGCCTTGTTAGGTGTTCTGCTCAGTGAATGAAAGGGCTCCTGAGAAATTTCCATTTTATGGAATCACAGCATCATTGATTTTGGAAGAAATCTCTGGAGATCATCCAGTCCAACCCACAGCTGGTGCAGGTACACACATGTATGTGGATATTTTGTGCTTCCATGAAGCCAAGATTCCTGAATTGCAAACCTGAATCTCAGTAGCAGTGTTCTATAACAGGATTGGGATAACCCCAGTTACCCTGTGCTCAGTAACACTTGATTCCTTACAAAAGTGAAAGACTTGTAAAATTCCAACCATCCTTGTACTGACAATTTTGTACACTTTATTTTGTCCAGAAATTTAAACTTAAATCTTTGTTTGGAATAGATTTCAGTCTATCAAGCCATCTATGTCTTGCTCTTCATCAAGGAGCAAGTTGACTTTGTTCCATGTGCCTCATTCTCTCAGTTTTAGGCGTGTTGGTAATTGGATTTATTCTGTAAAAAGAGCTCCTGCACAGGTGAACAGGGCCACCAGAGTCCTTGCCCTGGCCAACAGCAAGGGGACAGCGGAACCAGGACCTTCTCCAGTACCACAGGTGATATTTGCAGTGAGCAACACATTTCTACATCTTATGGAAGGGGATGGGGCTGTGCTCCCCAGCTGCACAGACACCTGCTTGTTCTTCAGTCAGCAAAACATCTCCAAGGTCATCCATGGAGGCCTCCTCTCTATAAACACACTTGGCAGACGCTCAGAGTGGCCAGGGAACCTTAGTGAGTGGGATCAAGCCTTGCAACAAGTTTCCAAATGATAATTGCAAAGCCCTCGTTTCCAAATGATATTTGCAAAGCCCTCCTTGCTCCCCAAGGTCTGCCAGGAGCATCCCAAACCCTCAGCTTGCTGCAGCATTTTCAAGAGGAGCATTCCAGACAGAGATCCTGTGTGGGTTATTCCAGCTGGCTCGTGAGCAGAACAACTGCTTGAAGAGTATAGAATCATAGAATCTCTGAATGTCCTGAGGTGGAACAGTTCCTCAAGGATCATCGTGTCCAGCTCCTGAAGTTCTCTGATTGTTTTCTCTGATTGTCATCTGTTTATGTCCCTTTGTAGCCCTATCTTTTTTTTTTTTTTAAAGTTGACATAATTTTGCTGAGAATGATGTTTCAGAGAGACTTCCATTTTCAAACTGCATTGAGATTTTTTTTCCTTTTGACCTGCACATTGTGTTGTAGATGGATGGTCCAGTCTGACATCTCAAGAGGGACTCTTGGGTGCTTTGGAAGCTCGCAGTATTTTAGGTCAGATATATCTACTGTGCCTTACAGCTGCCTCACAAGAAGCAGAACTAGTGTTTTAAAAAGTGTTTAAAAGCAGCCTCATGGATCTCATCTTCTTCAGAGGAGCTGCATATCCAGCTCTTCTCAGCATTTCCTGGGCTCCCAGTCTGAGATGTCAATGGTTTATGATCTTTAGATAAAATACTGTAAAAGAAATCCTATTGTTTTTCTCCAAACAATTTGTCTGCTGCAGAGGAACATAAGAATAATCAAAATAATATTCATCTGCTTCTGTGTAGTGCCCTTTTTTTGTCACAGTTGCCCTGGATACTTGCTCCTCACGTGACTTCTGACAGCCAAGAACACCCCAGGACAGGAATGAGTGTCTGCATTTGAGGACTGTGTTTCTTTCTGATGAGTAGTTATATTTTAGTCACACAAGGAGCTCCCAGTAGAGTTTGTGGTGTTTTCCCATTGCTCTGTGAGGTTGAGAGTTGCAGGGAACCACTCACTGCAGTCCTCTGCATCACATTCTGCTTCACATTCAGGAAGCAGAAACATTTCATATCCAGTGCTTCCCAGCCTGGAAGACCAAAGAAACACTGGGAGAAACACTAAGCTAGCAGTCCAAATTCAGGACTGTCCCAGCACAAGCCTTAATTCCTGGTGGCCCATTTCCCAGTGTAACAGTCATGTTCTAATGCACCAGCCTGGCTTCCATCCTGCTTGATGCTGACACAGGCACAGACTAAACTGCTAATCCCCAGCGTGCCCAGCAGCTCCCTGCTTGCACTGTCACTCTGCTTGCTCCCCACGAGCTCTGTGCTTGGCAAAATCCCTCCAAGGGGTGATTTCCATGGGGATCCACTAATGCATGTCCTTCCTGACGTGTTGGTTAACAGATCCCACCATTGAAGTGGTCAGTCCCATGCAGGACATAACTGTTGATGAAGATGGCCCAGCAGAGTTCATATGCCAATATTCTAGGCCAGTGCACGCCATCTGGAAGAAAAATGATCAGGAAATACATGCAGATGGGCAGCGAGTGATTATCGATCAGGACTGGAATGTGAGCATGCTAAAAATTAACCCCACGGTCCCAGAAGACACTGGCATCTATTCTTGTGAAGCTGAAGGCATTAAAGTGATGGCTACACTTGATGTTCAAGGTGAGGTCTTCCAGCCAGAGAGGAAGACTACCCTGGGTTCCAAATAAAAGAGGTAGAAAAGTCATGGCAAGGCTTTGCAATAAGGGACACATCAGATACCTGCTCTTGGTGTTCACTCCAGTACTGAAAATGAGGATAAAAATAATTGGGGGATAATGGGAATTGAAGATGAAACTGCAGCACTGTCGTATTTTTAATTAACACTCATTACACCACTTAGCCATTCCACCTCTTCTGCAGTGAGCTGGAATGTTGGTGTGATGGGATGTGTCCTGCTGAATTGTTGTAAAATCACAGGTTGGTATTATTGGGGAAAAGGAATAATATGAATACTATTTTGCTGTTAAAGAGCACTTTTTACGATGTGACATAAAACCAGTAACTAATGGTTTGTGTGGAATTAAATTTTATTTTGCTGAGTAAAGGATCTTGGTAATTTATCTATTTCAAATAGTGATCCCTCAGGAATTACCTCCTCACTCAGCACTCAAATTTATGGAGAGTCTGAGGAGCAATATATACAAAAATTAACAAAAAGTTAGGATTTTACATGGAAATTTCTTATTTTTTTTGCTGCATATGGAATTCCTGGGTTTGGTTACCGAGTGAATTGGTGTGATCAGCAACAGCAGGTTCTGATTTCCGAATATTTTTGGCTATTTTGCCTTCTTGCTTAACTGGAGCTGGTTGTTAGTGCCAAGGAACAGGGTGTTATTTATTTTAATGTTTTCTACGTTGATAAACACTTTCCACCGTAGGGATTTAAAAAGATAGTAATGAACATAATCTAAAAGCATCCCACAGGTGGTAGGGTTAGCAATTGGCTGCTTTCCATAATTAGGGAAATCAGCACTTCCAAAGCACACAGATAAATAATTTGTGTTGTTCTAATGAACATTATATATTCTCCAATTATAAAATTAATATTTTATTATTTTTTTTTTTTTAGTATTATAGAAGCCCAGAATAGTTTGGGTTGGAAAAGACCTTAAAGGTCAGGTAGTTGCAACCCCCTGCCATGGACAGGGACACCTTCCACTCTCCCAGGTTGCTCCAAGCCCTGTCCAGCCTGGCCTTGGGCACTTCCAGGGATGTGGAGATCACACAAAACATCTCTGGGCACCTTTTTATTAGTAATAAGTTAATAAATATCTGGTAGCTTGTGCTTTTTTTTGGGTATGTTTGTTTGTTTGTTTTTACCATTAAACAAATTGCTCAGTTTGGAGGTTTTTTAACATTTTATTTATTTTTACTATTTTTTTTTATTATTTATTTTTTGCTGAGCACAGTTCTAGATGATCTGTAGAAATCTAAACAGGGATGTCTTGGTTTATAACACAAATCATGCTGATGGTTTTATGGCATTTGTGTAAACTGTGTTTACTCAACCGTGGGTCCCCACCCTTGTGCATGTCATTTGACCCTGTAGCAATGTGAATTACACCCATATTCACCAGCCCACCTTTAATTTGGCACTGAGCTAATTGTTTCTGTCCAGGTGCCAACTGATGCATGACTGGAGTGTGGAGGTTTGTGCATGTCTCTGACCCAACAACTCACCACACAGCATGGGAAAATAAACATCAATGTCACAGAGCTTTTATAATAATTCAGAAATTTACTATTCAAAGTAATCTTGATAGAGATTTTGACTCTTTGTGTGTTTTCTCGAGGCAGAATTAGCTCAGATAGTTGTCACTATAGCTTTGCCAGCCATAATATTCTCTTACATTTGCTTTGCAAGAAAAGTAGTAAGCTGTTTAGGAGATCTTTGGGAAACATTTCCTGTCATAGGACAAAAGGAATTTGGTTATACTTTATCTTCCTGAGCTATGCCCTCCTATTGATTATTGGCCTGATTCATACAGATATGACCATTTTCCTTTATTTAAAAAAAACAGTCAGTTTTTTTTGAGGTAAGCTGGGTGAAATGCTGGAGGTTCTAGAGGTTTTACCATTGCATTTAAACTGTCTTTAAATCTTTCTACCATAATATTTTGTGAAAGTGTGGTTGCAATCAATTAAACCTACGAGCACAGTTTATCACATCCACATTTTTCTGTCAGCTTTGCAGCAGTGGGAATCATCCAGTGCTCTGAGGCTTGCTAATATTCAGAGATATATGGACAAATAATTAATAATGTTAATTGTCCTTCTTTTCTAGCCAAGAACAGCATTGTGCAGGGCTTGGAGAACGTGGAGGCCGTGGAAGGAGGGGAGGCCCTGTTCGAGTGTTACCTCTCCAAGCCTGAGACCTACAATTACAACTGGCTGATTGATGATGAACCTGCCAAAACCACAGAAAACACTGAGATGGTTTACTTTGAAAATGGGCTCAGGCACATCCTGCTGCTGAAGAATTTAACTCCCCAGGACAGCTGCAGGGTGACTTTCATGTGCAGCGATGCAGTGACCTCAGCCTTCCTCACAGTGAAAGGTAACTCAGGTGCTTGGGCAGGGGAAATCTTCAATTTCTGGCTGGAAAGGGGAAAGAAGCAAGGAAAATAGGATGAGTAGAAGCAAGGAAAAGTTGCATTTGTTGTTTGTCTCTTACCTAAATGTTCTTCCCACACAATAAATCATAGAATCATTCAGCTTGGGAAAGATCTCTGAGATGATCAAGTCCAATCTTTAACCCAAGTCTGCCAAGCCCACCAGTAAACCACAGAATCACAGAATTATTGGGTTGGAGGGGACCTTAAAGATCATCCAGTGCCACCCCTGCCATGGCAGGGACACTTTCCACTATCCCAGCTTGCTTCAAGCCCTGTCCAACCTGGCCTTGGACACTTCCAGGGACCCAGGGACAGCCACAGCTGCTCTGGGCACCCTGTGCCAGGGCCTCCCCACCCTCACAGGGATGAATTTCTTCCTAATATCTCATGTAAATCTATTCTCTGTCCATCTGAATCCATTCCCCCTTGTCCTGTCACTCCATGCTCTCACAAAAGTCCCTCTCCATCTTTCTTGTTGGCTCCCTTCACATACTGGAAGGTACAAATTAGATCATCCCAAAGCCTTTTGTTTTCCCTGAAAAACAAAAATGTGAAAAAATCCAATTCTCTCACCCCTAAATGGATGATGCTTTACAAATTTCCTCATTTCCTTGTTCTGTAGGACGTGACACAGTTTATAAGCAGCACCACTTGGCACTGAGTTAGCAGCAAATAACTGAGCTGTCATGATTTTGATGAGTTTGGTTGTGTTTATAGGCACTTCAGGACTTCAGAGAGGAGGGCTTTATCAGCTGCAATATTATCTCAGTATCTTTATGCTATTGCTGGAGAACCCAGTGGGGTCCAGAACACCTTTCTGTACAAGAAACTAAGAGTACAAAAGCAGAGTTTGGTCCCCACTCACAGATTAAATGGGGCTTGGAGCAACCTGATCTGGTGGATGGTGTCCCTGCTCAAGGCAGGGGTGCAACAAGATGAGTTTTAAAGTCCCTCCCAAACCCTCTGTGATTCCAAACCTTCTGTTCTAGCAACATACATAAACTTTTTAATGGTCTCCTTGCTCTCCAAGGCCTGGCTGTTCAGAACTTCAGCACAAATATTCACAAAATCTCTTGATTGTTTCTGTAACTGAGGGCTTGATCACTGATTTTAATCTACAGGGTGGCGCCTGCAGTTCTTGCAGCCCCTCACGGATGTGGAAGTGTCTCTGGGGCAAAAAGCAACATTTAGCTGTGTCCTGAGTGAAGCTGTGCCAGTTAACGAAGTGTCCTGGTACAGTAATGACACAGAGATCCAGTCAGGTGAGGACTGGGAGGTACAAGCAGATGGAAACAAATACAAACTCATTCTGAAAAAAGCCCAACTACATCATTCTGGAGAGGTGACATTTGCTTCCAGGGAGGCCATTTCATCAGCCAAGCTTTCTGTGATAGGTAAGTGTGTGTTGTTCCAGCCCAGGGACATTCAAAATCTCAGACTTCGAGCTGCAACACTGAATTTCCCAATCTCTGTGCTGATTCTTTCCACTTTGCCTCACATGTCCCAAAACAGTGTTCTTAGGCTGAGAAGACACTACTGGCAACTTGTTCTTTGACCAGAAGTAATCCACCTCATCAGAAGAAAAATGTGTCAGGCTAGTGATGGTAGAGATGCTCCCCAACTTTCTTTAGCTGCAGTCTTTTGAAAAATGTGACATAAACAAAAATCAGTATTCTCAGAGTTCAGCTTCACTCTCAGCAAACGTGGACACAGGAGGGAGCTGAGCTAGGGTCCACGTGGAAAAATGATCCAGGACAGCAGAGGAATCTTTGAAATCTGCTAATCAGCTCAGGTGCAGGGCAAGCAGTTCTCCAGGTTAATGAGTAGCATGTTAAAACTTTCAGGTTTGGACAGCCATGAAGCACACACCTTCTGCTCCAGAGACACAAGAGTTAATAGTTAAGTAGGGAAGATGATAATTCCCTAATTCCCTCGTGGAGCAGGTTGGATAATGACATATCAGTGTCCATTTCAGCAGCCAGGATCTGACTCCTTCCTGCAGTGGGACAAGTGGGTCACCCAGCAGTGGTCACACAGCACCATCCCAGTGGTGGTTATGAGATAATTAAGTGTATTTTAGCTGTAGCTGAGATGTTAAAGAGTCACTGATGGACCATCTATACTTTAAATTACTACAACCAGTCTCTGTCTAATGATTTCTGAGACAAGGGATCTCGGTTACATATTCCAGTCATTTCCACCACAATTAAAAAAACAAAAAAAAGTTTGATGGATTTAAATCAGCTTTTTCTAATTTTGGGTACTTATATTTAATGAACTTCAAAATAAAAACATAATGCTCTTCCTGTTGACAGATTTTTCTGTATGAAATTTGGTTGACAAAAGAGAAAAGATTTTATGTTGTTCTGTGGTGTCCAGAGTTAAAGAACTGGCTGTTGAACATATTTGCCTTTAGTTCTTTGGACTGGTATATCATGGCAGGTCATTTACATTGTCATTGTCTTGAACTCAAGACTGAAAGAACTATTTCCATCTTTAAGGCCAAAGTGTAATGTAAGCAAGGAACATTTTCCAGTGTACTGAGTGTAGGGATTGGAATTAGGTGACCTTCAAGGTCCCACCCATTCTATGATCATGGACAGCAGGACACCAGATCATTCCCATCACATATTTATTTGTTTGTTTGGTTTTGCCTGATGCTGTGACAGATACTGCAATTACACAAAAGTGGAGTGACTCATTATTAAAATATTTGAGTTATTCTTTAGTCCCATAATAACCTGATTTTAATTAAGGCCAGATCTAAAACAAACACAAGGCTCAAATGTGCTTGAAATTTTCAGTTAAATTCCTTGAAAATGTGGATGGCATAGGGTTATCTTTATTTTGGTGGGACAAAGACGATACAAGACATTAATTACGTGAGATGAGAGCCGGAAAATGAATGTTTGTCACTGGCAGCATAAATCAGGGCAGACAAGGATAAATCAGTGGTGTGCTGAAACTCCTGGTTTTGACTTCATGATGACTTCACACTCAACTTTACAACAAGGAGAATACTCAGTCCATTGCCCTTCCTTCCTCGTGGCTTGTAGCAGGCTCTTGGGTGTTTTAGGACGAAGTGTTACTGCTCACATGGTACATCATGGGACCTCTGTTGTGCCCCCAGCCCTCCCCGAGCCCCCTGAAGAGCCAGAAGTTCTCAGTCAGAGCAGCCACTCTGTCACTCTGTCTTGGCACAAACCGCTGGGTGACGGCAGCCAGGACATCCTGGGCTACAAGGTGGAGAGGAAAATCGCGGGTGTTGGCTGGCAGTCCTGCAGCGAGGGTCTCATCCAGAACACAGAGCTCACCGTGGATGGCCTGGCTCCGGGGGAACCCTACAGATTCCGAGTGTCAGCCATAAATAAAGCTGGGGCCAGCGAGGCGGTGCACTTCCCCCAGATGGTGCGGTTAGGTGAGGATGGACACAGGCTCCAGGGAGGACTGCAAGCTCCTGCAGACCCTCCAATTGCATGGCATGCCTGCTTCACCCATTCCAGACATCTCCCAGGGCAATATCTTTCAGTGCTTGGCTGCCAACACAACAGAGGAGGAAGAGCTTGGGATAAAAAAGTCCTGGGCTGCTGTGAACAAAACCTGTTGTGTTTTTAGCACTCAGCAGTGATTTCTTCCAAACTGCATCCAGCTGTCTTGCAGCCTGCACTGCATCATCCTTGTGCTGGCTCGCCACCATGGGTTTCTTGCACTGCATCCATGTGTTGGCTGGTCACCATGAGTGTCTTTTTTGGTGGAGTTAGGATGGAATGACAGAAAAAGGGCATGCTGGAATGTGTTTGGGGTAACCAAGACCGTGACCATGGGTGGGCAGTGTTGTTTTCTTCGCCAATCTTTCTCCTTTTTTATGTTTTTCATGTGTCTTTTTCAAGAATCCCCACAAAGAAATGGTGGAGGATGCAGTTCCTTTGCCTTGATGGTGAAACTTTGGAAGCTACAGAGGGATGGGGAGTCTTTCTCTCAGTCTTTCTTTTCTTGCAACTCTTTCCCTGGTATCACTCATCTAAATTCCTCAAAATGAGTATAGTGATTAAAAAATTGCTCTTTTTCTTGAGGTTAAGGCACACAGTGACATTTTTTTTGCAACAATAACTGCTGCCAGTGCTGGACCCTGATGAACAAACCCAAGGCATTTTGGGCACAATCCACTCACCCTGGTGAAATTTGCAGAGAGGAAGGTAACCTTGAGGGATGTGCTGCTTTTGGGAACCCAGCACTGTCTTTTACAAGCCAGTCAACATCTCTGAGTTTAACGTGTTTTTCTTTGAGTTATCATGGTTGTACAAAGAGCATTCTGTTGGTTGACCCCCTTCCAAAGTAAAGAAGATGCAGAGAATTTTTGGTTATAAATTATATATGCCTTTTGATAATTTTCACTCTTCCTAAGGTAGCATACTTCGCTTCTAAACATTTAAGATCTAGAAATCTGTAGAACTTCCTTTATACTGGTGATGGGTAGAGGAAGACCAGCAAAGAAACACAGGAATGTGGAAAATGCAACGCATTCTGCATGTATATGTTTAGCTGTAGCTAGTTTAAACACTGGGAGAGCTTGGAAAGTTGTTTTGATATTATCTTTGGATGTGCACACTTTGGATGCTGCCAGTCGTTTAATTTTTATTTTTTTTTCCATTTTGTTGTCTACAACAGCTGAAAAATCTGTAAATGATGGGTGGGATGCTTGGATATTTTATGGAGTGGAGTGCCTTAAAGCCAGATAATCTGTTCTTTGTGTTAATTCACTTTATTTTTGTAATTGCAGAGCCTCCAGTTACAGTCACCCAACCTTTGATGGGAGGATCTGTCTCAGAAGGGGGAGTGGCTCGCCTGGAGTGCACATTGTCAAGTAAAACCCAGGAGAAAGTGACTTGGTTCAAGGGAAAAGAACAAATAAAAGCTGGAGGGAGGTACGAGATCCTCTCTGATGGAACGAAGCAAATACTCATTATCCATGGATTTAAACCTGAGGATCAGGACAGCTACACCTGCATGGCATCTCCAGAAGTCAAATCTGTTGCCAGCCTGTGTCTCGAAGGTGTGTGCATTGCTGGGGTGTTAAATCGGGTCTGGTATGGACATCCAGGGGCATCTCCACAGCTGGGACTGGAATTAATTTTCTTTTACAACCTATCATAACAATCCAAAAGGAATTGTTATTTTCCTGTTTGGCACTGTCCAATATGTTCCTGCATCCCAAACAGTTTTGGGTTGCCTAGATTAGAGTTTCTGGAGACAGATATTTAAAGTGTGACATTATTGTCTCTACATGAATTTTTGGTGCCTTTTGAGATGCTTTAGGGTATTCTGTGAATGTTCCAGACAACCTGGAGCATCTCAAAAGGGACTGGGCAACATGTAGAGCCGTGTGAATGTGAATCAGACACCTTCAGACTTAGGCACATCCAACCAGGCAGGTGTGTCCATGTGAGATGGGAGTCTCAGCTCTCAGGAGAGCCACTGGAGATCTGTTCAGGTCAGACAGGGAAGCTCTGTATTTCTGGGAGATAGGATGAGCCTGGATAGCTTTCCAGGCTCCACAGGCAATCTTAACAACCAGTCCATCAACTGCAACATTAAAAAGGGCAGAAATCTATTTATTGGGTTCAAATGTACAAGGAATAAAAAACATCCTGTTGTTTGGTAATGTTTTAAGTGCGTGCATAGAACCACAGGATTGTTGAGGTTGGACACATCTTCTGAAAGTGGTGTGGTCCATCCTCCTCCTCAATGCGTGGTCAGCTAGGACAAGTTCACCAGGATCAGATTAACTTCCCAGAGAGGGAAGAGAGAGGGTCTCTTTCTCTGGAGATATTTAAAATCTATCTGGATGCTGAATAATGTGATCTAGGAGACTGTGCTTGAGCAGGGAGGTTGAACTAGATGATATCCAGTGGTCCCTTCCAACCTTCCCCATGCTGTGATTCCATAAATTCCCGTTTTGTTCTCAATATCATGCTTAGTTAAATGCCACTGAGGTTCTCCTGTAGGATGTTTCCATGTGCTTTATCAAAACTCAGATATTGAACTTCTCATCTGTTTAATTCCCTTCAGTTCCCACAGTGTCGATGCTGAAGGAGATTGCCAGGGAAGCTCCCCCTGCCAGCCGGGCTGAGGAGCTGGTGGATGGACACATCCAGCCCAGCCTGCCCCCTGAAGCTGCCCAGGAGGGAGATCTTCACCTCCTGTGGGAAGCCCTGGCCAAGAAACGCCGTATGAGCCGGGAGCCCACCTTGGATTCCATCAGCGAGGTGCCTGAGGAGGATGAGAAGCTCCAGAAGCTGAGGAAGGAGGAAGCAGAGATGTCTCACTACTACTCGGAGGAGTACTCCACATGTGACGAGCTGGCCAGGACAGGAGAGGCAGATTTCTCTTTCACAAGCTCTGATGATGAGTCTAGAGCTGGGACTCCTTCCCTAGTAAACTACCTCAAGAAAGCTGGGAAGAAGAGCATCAGTGTTACCAGCAAGGTTCAGTCCACCTCCACAGAAAAATTATGGAAACAGTGGGAGACATCCACTGTGGAGACCACTGTGGCCACCACGGCTGCTCAGCCAGCTGAACCAGAGCTTCCAGATTTAAATGATCCCTCCATGAACAAGGCGGCTGTGAAGATCCAAGCAGCTTTCAAAGGCTACAAAGTCAGAAAAGAGATCAAGCAGCAGGAGTGCCCAGTGTTTACTGAGACCTTCAAAGACTTCTCTGGAGAGCCTGGAAGCACCCTGCACCTGGAGTGTGTGGCCCACAGCAAAACCGACATGAACGTCCGGTGGCTGAAAGACGGGAAGGAGCTCTCGGATGGTCGTTACTACCACATAGACAGCTACAGTGATGGCACCTGCTCCTTGATTATCGCTGGCCTGGACAGGAAGGATGCCGGTAAATACACCTGCGAGGCATCCAATAAGTTTGGCAAGGTCTCACACAGCGCAAAGGTGGTGGTTGGCACTCAGGAACCCCAAGTTCTTCCTAAGGAGAAGAGGAGTAAGCAGAGCACTGACAGTGAGACGGAGAGCTCGTCTGGCAGCGAGCTGGACGATGCTTTCCGAAAAGCAGGAAGGAGACTCCACAGGCTCTTCAGGGCCAAGATCTCCACGGAGATCTCTGATGTGGAGGAAGAGCTCTTTGTCAGCGCAGACGAAGGGGACATTGACGTGGTTGACCACCAGACGTACCGTGAGGATGACCAGTACATCTACATCAAGTTTGAAATCATGTCTGAGGCCAAATCAGCCGCCACGCGGTTCAGAGAGATGTTTGGTGCTCTGGGAATTCCTGTGGAGATCAGCATCTTAGAACAAGGCCCAAAAAAAATTGAATTGCGCATTGGGAAGGCATCACCTCCCACCTTTGGGAAGTTTGCACCTCCAGTAGCAAGACCTCCACCACCTTTGCTGACTTCTGACACAGGTAGGAGAAGCAAACCGTGCTTATTCCTTAGAAAAGACGGTAGAAACAGGTGACAATATCATTTTTTCCACTCTTAAGCAATTTAATATTTTTTTTTAATTTGGTGCAGAATTTTTTATCAAAGCTTTGCACTTTTAGAAAAAATAATGACTTTTTCATTCTTTTTCATTTTGAGAGAGGGGAGGTACATGGGTGGGGGGATCGCAATGTATTGACTTATCTGTGAAGCCCTTTTTCATGCCAGAAATGCCACCTACTACAACGTGACCAAAAATACCATGATTATTGTCCTTAAGTGGATTATGTAGGTTTTTAGAATGGTTCTGAGAAAGACAAGACATTTGGCAAGGAGAGGAGCAGAGACAATATATAATTGGCAGCTGTGGCATTGCTGTGCTGATGGAATATCTTCATAGTGCCAGGGAGTTTCTTGACTCTTCTAGAGAATTAAAAACCTGGAAACCAAAAGTCAGACTAGCAGGGGCCTAAAATATATCTTTAGATTAAAACCAAACTTTTCTTTCTTCTCTCCAACCACCCCAACTTTAGCCCCCATGTTCATGACCGAGCTTCAAAACCAAGAGGTCCAGGATGGGTACCCAGTGAGCTTTGACTGCATCGTCATTGGCAAACCCCTGCCCACGGTTCGCTGGTTCAAGGATGGCAAAGCTATTGAAGAAAACGATCACTACATGATCAACGAGGACCAGGAGGGGTGTCACCAGCTGATCATCACCGCCGTGGTCCCCACGGACATGGGCGTCTACCGGTGCCTCGCTGAGAACAGCATGGGGGTGGCTTCAACCAAGGCTGAGCTCCGTGTGGACTGTAAGTCTGAAAATCACTGTAGGAAAACAAGAAAAGGAGTTCCACTGAGACCTTTTTTTTTATTTTTTTTTTCCCAAGGAAAGCAACATTTACATTTTAAAGAACAACGTTTTGGCCACAAAATTTTCACTTTCAAACCTCTTGGGTTCAGCTGGGTTTTGCCAAGTCCACGGCAAGGTTCAGAGCAAAGCTTTTGGGGTCAACAGAGGTGTTTTCCACAATAATAATAAGGATAATAACACATAATAACACATAATAAGGGATGTGTGGGATCCTGCTGCAGTACAACATAATTACTGATTTTAGTTCCCTTACTAATTTGAGTAACTTTTACTCAAATTAGTAAGGGGACTAAAATCAGTAAGAACTATTTAAGGAAGAAAAGTAGTTTCAAAGCTCAGATTATTCAAGACCTGTCTTTTTCCATTTAACAGTGACCAGCACGGACTATGAGACAGCAGCAGATGCAACAGAGACATCATCTTACTACAGTGCCAAGGAATATATTTCAAGGTAAAATATGGAACTCTGGCTCTAACCTCTAACTCAGTGAGATCAATCTGTGTATTTATGTCAGGGCTGGGTTTGGTGTGTTAAGCAGGGCCAGGTTAATGCCATAAAGGAGCATCCAGCCCAGTTGAGATGCAATAACTGCAACAGCTGCACATTTGCCATGGGCAGACTTGCTCTGGAGCCTTCAGGCAAGCTGGGGTATTTCCTCAAGGAATCACTGTTGCTTTTAAAGTCAGATGGTGCTGAGTCTGTTCTCACGATGCCAAAACCCACAGACTGAATTTACCTAAAATATGTCTTTCTGGTTCCTAACTCTCACCTGGCACCCTGATTTTCTTCTTTCTAATTCCAATTGCTGCTTAGCCGGGAACAGGAGGAATCCACCACTGAGGAGGAGCAGCTGCCCCAGATCTTTGATGAGCTTCATGATATTCATGTGGCACCTGGAGCATCACTGGCTAAATTTCACCTGAAGGTGAAAGGTGAGTGGATCCCATGGTATTGTCAGTTTTCCAGGTCTGATATCAGGTTGAAGTGCTGGACAAGGTTTTCCAAGGTGCTCTTCTGCAGCCGTGACCCTGGGCTGAGCACTGAACAGGGACTGTTGGAGCAGACTCAGATTAAGTGCCTCATTTTGTGTCCATATATCCAGGCATAATGACAGGCACATGCTTTTTAAAACTGAATTCTGGATTTCTCTGAGCACAGGAGCAACAAGGAATAATGATCTCAACATTATCATTATCACTATTAATAATTATCATTATATATTTCATATATTTATATAACATAAATAACTATATCTAGTATAATTTATTAGTAATAATCATAATAGCATTAATAAAAATTAAGTCAGTCTCCTTCATTCTCTTCAATAAATGAAGCAGTCATGGACTTGCCTTCCTCCATTTTCCCATTGCTCCTACAATGTAAAAAATGCAAAAACTTCACGCTGGTGTTGACTCTGGTAGGGAGAGGTAGGGATTTTCCTGTTTTCTCCTGTTGCTGTCTATAAAAATTATGGGAATGCATTTGGCTTCAACATTTCTCTTTGTGAACATTTCAAATCCGACCCAAGTGCTGATTTTTCAACCTCCAAGGCATTTGAACATGAAGACAATATGGGGAGTGCCAGAAACTGAGGAGACAGGAAGGAATTTTAAGAGACAAATTGAATTTAATGTATTTATAAGCATTCCTAATTGGTGAAACCCTTGAAATGGGAGCCTTGTTAAACCCTTGAAACAGCAGAGGATCTGTCAGATTGGAGATGCTCCCAAATCGGTTTTGCCAATGAATTTTGTTCTCTGTGTCTGTAACTACTCCTCACAGGGTACCCTCAGCCTCGTCTCTACTGGTTCAAAAATGGGCAGCCCCTAAAGGCCTCGGATCGTATTCTCAAGACTGACAGGCAGGAATTCCATTCCCTGGAAATCCGCGACGTCACCAAAGCAGACGCTGGCCAGTACTTGATATTTGTCATCAACTCTGCTGGCTCTGCGTATTCCTCAGCCAGGCTGGTAGTCAAAGGTGGGTGTTGCTCTATTTTGGGCTCTTCCAGAGGCTCTTAACATTCTTTTACTGAGGAAACCTCCCATGGTAACTCAGGTGAGGTGGGGAAGTCTGTAGGTAAAAGATGATGTTACTTACTCTTGGTTCACCTATGAATTTGCTGTTTAAGAGGATGATGATGCCACTTCTCTGTGGTCTGACTGTTGTCTCGTGAACAGGTATTTTATTCTTGTCCATCCTCATTAACCTTAAAACCTCATTTCATTAAAACTTAGGGACTCTTACAAATCACACAAATATTTCTGTGTAAAATCTCCACTGGAGTCACTTTGGGAGCTTTTTTGTGCAGCTCCTGGATTGACACTTATTTGTATTTGTCATGTTGTGTTTTCTCCATGTGTTCCAGATCCCTATGAGAAAGAAGAGCCATCAAAAACAGGTGAGAGAGGCCTCAGCAGGTGAGAACAGAAGCCCCAGCAATTTTTCAGTCTAAACTCACTTTGTTCCATCAATAATATTATTTCCAGATTCCCATGAGCAGCTGATACCACCAAGATTCCTTGAAAGATTTACAAATAAGAAGGTGAAAAAGGGTGCAAGCATCACATTATCTGTGAAAGTTGAAGGTAAATGAGCAGATACCTCATTTCTCTGAATAACACTTGAAATGTGGAACTTCACAACACATTCTTCTCTCTGCCCCTAAGTCATTGTAACCTCATTTCCTGTATCTGAAGTCTGGGATTCTGCTCCCAACTTACATTTCTTATAAAGACACCTGACAGTAAAGCATCTTGTTTTTCTTCACCTCCATTTTTCTGTATGTAAAAATGGGGATAATGACACTTTGTAGTATGGTGCATGTTGACCATTAACTGTCTGGTGATTGAAAATTTTGGTTTTACAGAAAGATTTAATATCTCTATGAGCGTGTTGTAAAATAGTTTATCCACCTTTATTGCATTTTATGTCTGTTATTGTTGGGAAAGTATCAGAAAATCGATCAAAACAGCATTTTTTTCACAGCAAGTCTCGTATTTTTAAGGCAGGAACACAAATAGGAAGATTAAAGCTTATTGCACCAATTTTCCTCTAGGACATCCACCGCCAACAATCACTTGGATGAAAGAAGAGTCTCGAGAAGACATCCTGTGGATCAAACCAGACACTCCTGGCTATAAACTTGCCAGTTCCAACATGCACCACAGCCTGATCCTGTTGGATGTCAAGAAGAAGTACAGTGGAGCTTACACGTGCATTGCCACCAACCAGGCTGGCCAGTCCATCTGCACCGCCAACCTGGAAGTTGCAGATGGTAAATCTTTGCTGCAGCACAAACACTCTATATTTCCCTTTTATGCAGTGCCTAAGGGAAAAAAACAAGTGTAACTGTTTAGGAAATTTTCCAATCACACCCCAAAAAATGAGTTTTCTAGAGAGCAGCCATGATTTCACTTGTCTTGCAAATGGTTACACTCTTTACTTCTATGATATTTCAGATTTTTGACTCTGTCTTGTATTAATAGCAGTATCTTCTCTGAATAAACAGAAGGCAAGTCTAAGGAGCAACCAAATTAAAGAAAGTTAGTGTTAAGTAACTGGGAAAAGTCACCTTTTCAAAAAGTTTCTGGAGTGCTTCACTCTGCTGAGGTATTTTGGATTGTATTAGAGTTATTTGATTTCTGCAGAGCTTTCCAAGGCCTCTTTTAACACAATTAGATGGAGGAAAAACAAATGCATACTGGGAACAGGGGCAGAGCTGTGAAGAATTCCATTTTTCTATTATCCTGCCTTTCAGTGTGGAGAAATGGGGCAATTATATATTCTCCATGAACAGGGAAAGAAGGAAACTGTTGCCATCACAGGATTGGGAATATATATCCCAGGTCAGGAGCTGCTGCAGTGCTCCCAGTAATCCACATCTAGAAAATGTGCCTGCATTAAATACCTAAAAAAGGACATTATGTGCCTTCTGTCTTCTAATGATAAACCCAAATCTTGCAGTGAAAGAGGCTGAAGTCCTGACCCAGGAGCGTGTGATGGTGTCAGAAGCCATCATGACCACACTGGGGTAAGTGATTGGATGTGTGGGAGAAGGGGGGAATATTCCCCATTTGGCTCTCCTTATTACCCATTTTATAGTATTTTATTTTTATATATTTATTATTATTATTATTATTATTATTATTATTATTATTATTATTATTATTATTACTGTTGTTGTTATTATTATATTATATATATGTATATATTTTTATATACATTTCATTGTAACTTTTAACCCTGCTTTATTTTCTTTTACAGAACTATTCAGTCTTCTGAAGGTAAGAGAAGCTGTTTTCTCTCTCTTCTTCCTGCCCTCCCTACCTGCAGCTGAGACTGTCAATGTATTTCACGTATCCAATTATTTTTGTCCAGTTTTCTTGAAATTGTCTGAAATGTTGGAACCTTTCAGGACTGCTAGCTGTTCAAGATTGAATTATTGGATGAACTGAGAACAAGCACAGTTTTAAAAACAGGAGAAGGGAAGAAAACTAAACCGTCCTTCCACAGAAGGTTTTATTACCCAAAGAGATGAATTTTCAATGACACTGCCAGCTTAATAACAATTTTTCTCTTTTCCAGGAGACTTTGAAGCTGGCAGAGAAGGTGTGCCCAAAAGCCCTATTTCATTAGCTGATGTTGGCTCAGAAGAGTTCTTCCAGAAACTCACCTCACGTATCTCAGAAATGGTATCTGCAAAAATAACTCAGGGTAAGGAATCTGGGAAACACAGTTTAATTATGGTAGGAAAAAACAGCAATCTCTTTTTTTAGGTGTCATTTAATTATAAATGAGATTTATGCAGCAGGTTTTGAGACAGTCATTCTATATAAGCAAATGAACATTTGTCAATGCTTAGGGGTAAGAAATTTTTGTAGGAGTCCATCCAACCCGCACATCTCAGTCTGGAATTTTAGACTAGAAAAAAGCTATTATAGTAAATTGTAAAAATAGAAGTGTATTTTGCATATCTTAGGTATTTTGAATTCCTCAGGTATTTATCACTCCTAAATAAGAAAGCAATCCTGTTTTCTGTACTTCCCACATCTTCAAGTTGTACCTCACAGTGGAATTTTAAAATCAAATTAAGGCTGAAAACTCTGTGCACAGCTGTGCAATAATCCAATGATTTGTTGAGTTGAATGAAAAACTCTGGTTTGTGTCTGCCCTGATTATCCTGTAGGAAAAAAATTAACTAGGAGCAAAAATAGAGGCATTAACTCTCCAAACAAATATTCTTGCAGTGCAGCAGCAATACCTGCAATAGGCCTGCAACACCATAATACATGATTGAATTTGATTTGAATTTGGATTTGAACATCCAAATTATTCATTTAATCCTAAACATCAACAGGAAATCACACTAAATATTACTGTGAATGCTCTTCCTAGGAAGAAGAAAAATTATGGTAGGTTTGGTTCATGTTTAAACTGGGGATATTTATTTAACACTTTGCTGTTGCTCTGCTTTTCAGCTAAACTTCGAGTACCGGGTGCTGAAAGTGATGATGAGTCAAGAACTCCCTCTGCATCTCCTCGCCATGGACGATCCAGACCTTCATCCATTGCTCAGGAATCCTCCTCTGAATCTGAAGATGGGGATTCCAGAGGGGAGGTATGATATCTTTATGGACGAGTTTGACACAAGGAGAAAACTAAACTTAGAATGGCCAACCTATGATGGTGTAACAATCTCCATCCTCTTTTGTGAGGTAATTCAATTTTGTAGGTGTATTTCGTGGTTAAATGTTGTGTCTGTGCTACAGAGCACAGAGAGTCAAATTCTGATGCTCACCCTGTGATCCTTCAAGTCCTTCAAGTCAACATGGCCAAAACATACCCATAACTTGGCACCTCTTGCTTTCACGGCTGAACTTCAGAAAGTCAGAAGCTGATTTTCTGTGGCCTTGGACAGAGTTGGGCAGAGTTGTTGGGAAGTTCTTCATGAGGGAAATGAAGAGCACAAAGTGACTGTAGTCTCATGCCTGCAGATCTTTGACGTCTACATGGTCACTGCTGACTACGTGCCCGCGGCGCCGGACAAGGAGACCATCACCCTGAAGGAAGGACAATATGTGGAAGTCCTGGATTCAGCTCATCCCCTGAAATGGCTGGTCAGGACTAAACCCACAAAATCAAGTCCCTCGAGACAGGGTTGGGTGTCTCCAGCTTACCTGGACAAGAAATTAAAGGTGACTGATCATGTTTGGTTATTTCTCATTTAAAATTTCTTGTTCCTGTTGCAGTTTAGAGCCATCCCTTTTGCAAGGAGTGATGGAGGAGGAGGTTGTTGAAGGGGTCTGGAAGAAGGATGTACTTTTTCATGTTTTTATTAGACAAAATTTCTGGTTTGTGCAGGGGTTTCTGGATTGGAAAGACCTAAAAACTCTCCAGCACAAAAGAAATTTCACACTGGTTTAGTAATTGTTGAACTAAACATGACTGTGAACACATGAGAGATATTCCTCAGTACGTATAGATAAAAGCACTGTCCACTTCCAAGAATTGTTTTAATTTTTTTTCCTAATATTGTAGTTGTCACCGGAGTGGGGAACCATGGAAATTCCAGAGTTTCCTGGAGAGTTTGTTTCTGAAGATGAATACAAAAGGAAGCTAAGGTGAGCTTGTGTCACTTGGTATTTGCACCTTTGAATTTTCCTACCTTTTGAACCATTTGTGTTTTGTGATTGATTTCAGCCTAGGAAAATTCCAGGCAATCGAGATCACAGAATCCTAGAATGGTTTGGGTTGGAAGGGACCTTAAATACTATCTAGTGTCACTGAGTCCCGTGGGATGGGACAACTTCCACTGGCTCCATCCATCCATCCATCCATCCATCCATCCATCCATCATCCATCCATCCATCCATCATCCATCCATCCATCCATCCATCCATCCATCATTCCATCCACCCATCATTCCATCCATCCATCATCCATCCATCCATCCATCCATCCATCCATCCATCCATCATCCATCCATCCATCCACCCATCATTTCATCCATCCATGATCCATCCATCCATCCATCATCCATCCATCCATCCATCCATCCATCCATCCATCCCTCCATCCATCCCTCCATCCATCCCTCCATCATCCGTCCGTCCCTCTCTCCCTTCCTCCCCCACTCCCTTCCCAGAGGGGAACTTTCAACACACCCAGGAGTCAGTTCCTCTGGTCATAAATCTCTACTTTACTGCCTAAAAGCCTCTCAAGGACAATTGTGATGATTTTTCTGTGATTTCTTTCTTCCCCTCTGTCTCCCCTTCAGTGTTCTCATTCAGGAGCTGCTGATCTCAGAGGAAGATTATATTCAAGACCTGCAGTTCCTGCAGACTCATCACCTTAGGTACACTGAGACCTGTCCCAGTGTGCCAGGAGCTGTTGCCAGTCAGAAATCCACCATCTTCAGGAATATTGATGACATTGGTCGCTTCCATTCCAGGTGGGCATTCCCAAGTGCCTTTACTGGATACCAAAGAATGGCATTATTATTATTATTATTATTATTATTATTATTATTATTATTATTATTATTATTATTATTATTACTTCTGTTATTATTATTACTATTCTTACTATCATTCCTGATGTGGAGCACTGGCAGTGCTGAGGTGCAAGGGAATTGATGCTCCTTTTAGGAGGGTGAATGCTGTCATGGCTTAAATCATAGCACAGGGTTAGGACTTCCATAATCCCCTTCAGAGCTTCAAAGCTTCCTGTGTCCAGCTTATTTTTTACTCTTTTAAGTGAATTTAACTGAGAAACAGTGAATTATGTTAAAAAGGCAGCCAGTTCTTACAGGCACTTCAGTGGTGTCTTCACAGAGATATTAATCCATGTAAAACTGATGTCAGCATCCATGAATTTCAGGACACCTTCCACTATCCCAGGCTGCTCCAAGCCCCATCCAGCCTGGCCTTGGACACTTCCAGGGATCCAGGGGCAGCCACAGCTTCTCTGGCCCTGTGCCAGGGCCTGCCCACTGTCACAAGGAAGAACTTCTTCCTAATATCCCATCTAATCCCACCCTCTGTCAGTTTAAATCCATTCCCCCTCATCCTGTCCTCCAGGCCCTTGTCCAAGTCCCTCCATCCCATCCCAGCTAAGAGGAATGGCATTGTGCTGGGAGAATAGGCACTGAGAAGTTTAATGCTCATTTTGCCCCCATCATTTCCTTTCACCTGTGTTAACCTGACATCTCCTGATGCACAGCCTGCCTGCTGGGGTCCTGTTTTAGCCTCATTCCAGCACCTTTTCTCCTGTCCCCACAGTGTCTTCCTCCGGAGCTTGCAGGGCTGTGACACTGATGATGACGTGGCCATGTGCTTCATCAAGCACGAGGCAGAGTTTAACAAGTACATCCAGTACCTGGTGGGAAGGGTCCAGGCTGAGTCAATTGTTGTCAGCAAAGCTGTCCAGGATTTCTACAAGGTAAGGCAGGAGCCGAAAGCACCTGTGGAAAATTCATCCTGTAACCCACCGCATCAAGAAATGTAGTTGTTAATCACGAATGTGAACCTCAAAAGTGTTTGTAATATCTTTTGTTTAAAATAATGATTTTTAGTTCACTTTCCAGCTTTTTCTGGTAAGTGCAGACAATATGGGAACATATTCTTATGCATTTACTAATATCATAAACTTTAAACAGACTTAAATGTGGCTGTGTTTATGTAATTGTAATTAAAGGATGTTTTAAGGGCTATGACATTATAAGACCGAGAGAACTTACATAAATCATAAATATAGATAGACAAATATTGTTTATCTGCTCCAGCTACTCAGGATTTTTTTCTACTGCTCTTTATAACAACCTTTCCTTGTTATTCCATGTATTTTTTCAGAGATACACAGATGAATTTGTAACTAATGAAGATCCCTCACAGCCACTGATCCCACCACTGCAGCACTACCTGGAAAAACCCATAAACAGGATTCAGCAGTACCAGACAATAATTAAGGTAAAGAGATGTTGTTACAGGTTTCTGTTCTGCTCTGTGCAGTTTGTGCAGAAAAAGATTTTATTTTTATTTCCTATTTCTTGTCTTCCTTCTGATGCAACTACAATTGAAAACTGCTTGAGTAAATAAGAAATTAATCAGTGGTGGTGTTCTCAAAATAGTTTTGTAAATGTAAATCCAGGTGGAGGTTCACAGAATCCAACTCCATAAAGTTTAGTGAGGCTTTATCTTTAACTATATGCGAAAATATATGTATGATATAATATATGCCTGCATGGATAACAGGTATGAATTTGCTTCAAACTCAGCAACATTTATGTGATAAAGATAAGCAGTTTCCATGTCTAAGATAATGACTTACCTCTTCTTTTCCTTATGTTTTATACTGATATTATAGTATGATGAAATTCTTGTTTTCTGAAAAGCTTTGCCCCATTCTACCACCCTGAAATATTTTGTCTTTCAGGCTTGCATCTGTTTTATTGTCTTAGACCACAAGCAAACATTTGAGAGCAACATTTTAAACCGTATTTTCATGAGAAATAGCACTAGGATACTCAGGAAGAAAATAATCATGGCAAAATATTGATGTATTCTAATGTTGTATAAATTAGCAGTTTGAATATTTTGAAGAACTTTCTACTACTGAACACATTCTCACACACAAACATCAACATTTTTAGGGGTCTTTTGGAGGAGCAAAGGCGTTTTCCATGCCTTCATCACTGGAAGAGAGGAACAGGAACAAATGTGAGAAGAACAGGGAAAATGCCATTTCACATTTTTTCCAATCTCTCTTTTTATTAATATATTATATTAATCTAAAGTTGGCTCAGCACATGAATTCCTTGTCCTCTGATACTGTGAGGGTCAGCAGAAGAGAAATGCAATGGGCACATTTAGGATCACTTTGGAATTTTTGGTTTTCAACCGCCAAAGCATATCTGGTGTTTATTTCAACTTCATCTTTGCTTAATGTCAACTGGTGTAAGGAAAATCCAGACTGGTTAGTCTTTGAGACTAACCAGCAGAATAGGTAGGAAAGAAAAGACTTTGTTATTTCAGAAGCACATGGTGAAAAATAGGATAAAACTTGCTCAGGTGAAAGAGCCAGACCAGATACTGAGAAACTCTTTGGCTCTGAAGGAGTTGCTTTTTTTTCTCTCTGATTGTCCACTAATATTTTCTTCATTCACCTACAGGAATTAATCCGAAACAAAGCCAGAAACAGCCAGAACTGCGCTTTGCTGGAGCAGGCCTATGCCATTGTGTCTGCCCTCACCCGAAGAGCAGAGAACAACCTCCATGTCTCACTCATTGAGAATTATCCCGGGACCTTGGAAAGCCTTGGGGAACCCATCCGGCAGGTAACTGGAATTTCCCAGTCGCTGTTGGTTCCGTGTGTGCCTTCACCAGTCTCTAAGGAGCCTTAATTCTTAGAAGAAAATCCTTTAGAAATGATGTTTAAAAGAGATGATTTGCTTATTTCGCTTTCTGCTGTCCAGAAATGGGCGTTCTGGCTCCACTAAGGTTTGAAATGGCAGAGCATGGATGCTTATGGAGAAATTCACACATAATGCAGTTATTCACCTTTGTGACAGTAAAATTGTTCTGGGCCCCTACATGATCTAAAAGGGTTTTAACTCATCCTCTCATATTATTTGGAAGCAACACAGGGCAGGTCCTAGAGTTACTGGCATCAACAAACCCATGTGCTCCCCCAGGTTTATCCCACGAACCAGCTCTGTGGCTTTTTAGATAACCCGGCTTTAGGACACTTTAGTCAAGGACTTGCCACAGCTTCACTCAAATTCCTGTTTCTCTACAGATTTATTGTGTTATACCAGGCAATTAATTAATTCTGTCTGTATCAAATGTTTTCCATGGGGATCATGGTGTATTGCTGAGTGAAGCAAGTAAGGTTAAATTATAGTGATGCTGTGGTGGGCATTCATCTCTCCACATTTAGGCATCCAAAAAGTGTCCAGTCACACCCACTGAGTGTTTACTTCTCCCTAGAGATGCCTGGGGAAACCCATATCACTATCTGAGCTGTCTGTGTTTGAAGCTATGTGAAATTAATAATTCCTGCTCTGGTGAAGGTGACCAAATCATCAGATAAACTGCCCATATAGTACCCAAAATACAATTTTCCTTTAATATTTTCAAGAGTGTTTCTGCCTGACAAAGGCTCTCTATTTTTCTGGCACAAAATAATACCATTTAAATGAAGGTGTGATGACAGCCACTGGCTGTGCCCATGACTGATGAGTCACCTTTAGCATTAGAAACCATCAGCTGTGCTTTAATAAACCAGAAATACATCAGGAATGATGCAACAAGAAACATTTGTTATCTGGGCACTGAAAAACAATGGTGAGACATAACTGTGATAATTATTCCAGATGTATCACTATGTGCTCTTCCTTCTTTTTCCTATCCAGGGCCACTTCATTGTGTGGGAAGGAGCTCCAGGAGCTCGAATGGCATGGAAAGGACACAAAAGACATGTTTTCCTCTTCAAAAATTATATTGTGATCTGCAAACCAAAGCGAGACACAAAGACAGACACCTACAGCTACATCTTCAAGAACATCATGAAGGTCTGATCACTTTATGCTCTCATAAAGCATTTCTCTGTCGATTAGAACTTCACTTTTATATCCAGCTTGGACAGTCTTCTAATCCTTCTGAGCTATTCCTTTGCTTCAAAGTCTTTGAAGCACAAGTAGAATCTGCACTTATCCAAAAATATCTTTTTTAAACCTCTAAGAAAGCTGTCAGAAAACATCAGGGTGGACTTTTACCATGCAGCAAGGAGATTACAAGTACAAGCATTTATTTATCTCTGTTACCTCATTTAATTAACAGAATAAATATATTGATATTATAAATTGGATTTTGCTGCCTACAAAATTTGTAGAGAAAATTGCATTTGTACATCTCTGGTTTTGGCAGTCTGTAATATTGGGAGTAAATTAGAAGGAATCTTATTTGCTAAATTCCATCACGTTCTCTCTGCTGGTTATGTCCCTTCCAGACACCAATTCCTGTTCAGAAATGGAAAAATTCAGAGGATTTGACCCACTCATCTTTAGACATTCTGGGTTAAAACTGCCAGAAACTGAGGAAAGATTTTTCACAAGGCAGGAGCTGCTCAGCTCCAATCAAAACTAGCCAACCAACCAAAAAACCCATGGAACTCTTGACCAAGCCCAGCTAGGACCTTCTCAAAGTCCTTATCTCCATCCTCATCAACATTCATAGGCAGATTTTTATTTTCCAAGAAAAAATAAAATGGAAACATTTCCATGCTTTGTCCTGTTCTCTATTTTTTTCCAAATTGCCTGGGTCCAACCCTTCAGGGATGGTGTGTTCCACCCTGGAGATGGCTTTTAATGCTGGACATTGTTTTCCTAAAAAATTAACCCCAGGAAAATGTCAGTTTGGTAACCAGAAAGTCAAATATAGCAAGGAAAATAACTCTCAACTCTGGTTGAGCCCAACTCTCAGCTCTGGCTGCTCTTCAGCCAAAGCCACGTTGCATTGCTTACGCAATCTCAAAAATCTTTGAAGGCAGCACAAATTACCCCTTTTTGCTGTTGGCAATTCCTAAAAACACAGGATTTGCAGTGACTTTCTTGCCCTTTGTGTCACTCAGCTGAACAACATTGATGTGAACGACCTGGTGGAAGGGGATGACCGGGCCTTTGAGATCTGGCACGAACGGGAGGACTTGGTGCGCAAATACCTCCTGCAGGCGCGGACCGTGAACATCAAGAACTCCTGGGTGAAGGAGATCTTGGGCATCCAGCAGCGGATCAGCGAGCCCATCTGGAGTAAGTGTGGCACAAGACAGCCCAAATCTTTTTTTTTCTGGGTGGTCTCCTTGGTTCAGGAAATTATAAAAGGGGGAGAGAAGCTGTTTATGGTCGTTAAATGTGGGAGCAGCTCCAGGGAGGGGATTCTGCCCCTCTGCTCTGCTCTCATGGGATCCCACCTGAAGTGCTGTGTCATCTGTGGGGTGTCCAATATGAGATAGATGTGGAGCTGCTGCAGTGAGTCCAGAAGAGGCCATGAAGATGATCTGAGGGTTGAAGCACCTCTCCTGGAGGAAAGGCAGGGAGAGCTGGGGTTGTACCCTGATCCAGAGTCCTACACACCCCAGTACAAATGACCCTGGGTTCCAGACTCTTTACTCAACTCCTGGCTTACATTGCTCCATCTTTGCACCTGGGCTTGCTTTGGACTTTTGTCTGGTCATTAAGGCTTTCATCATTCTCAGTGTCATTTGAGATTCCACCAGTTCTCAGTCCACAAAATGTATCAGCAGGGATATTAGATCTTTACTTTCCAGGCATAAGCTACAAATGGTATCCACTATAGCATAAGGGTATTTGGCATCTGGAAATGCCGGAACAGCATTGGATTTAGTCCAAATACACTGAAAACAAGTCTGGGCACTTAATTTTTGTGCCTTTATTGAGATATTTTAGTGAGGAAGACTATCAGAATAACTTTGTATGGTTTCATATGGTAGCAATGGGTTAAAATAAAAGTCACTTTAAAAAGCTGTGGCTGCCCCATCCCATCCAAGGCCAGGCTGGATGGGGCTGGGAGCAGCCTGGGATAGTGGAAGTTGTCCCTGCTCATGTCAGGGGGTGGAATTCAATGAGGTCTTTAAGGTCTCTTCCAACCCAAACCATTCTGTAATTCTATGATTCAATAAAAGCATAGATTTCATTATGAGGACAGTATGAAGAATGCTACTTTGGAAATCCAGGCTGCATTTTATTTGAAGAATTATCTTAATGAGACAGATGTGTGGTGTCTGAATAACAAAAGTGCTTATTTCAATCATGGTCTAAAATAATTCTAGATCAGCAATAAATTCCTTCTTTTTCATATGGTCTAACTTTATGTTACAGTCTGAAATTAGTCTCAGACAAGCAAGGAGAGCATGTCACCCATAAAGTCTTCAGTTACTAAAATTTCCTGTTCACTTTTCTATTCTGAACCTCACAGATTTGCAAAAATTATTCTTATCTCACTTAGCAGCAGCCATGCTATGGACAGAGCCCCTTCCTCCAGACTAACACGCTTCCTCTGGTGTTTCAGTCCCTCCAGACTTTGAGGAAGAACTGGCAGACTGCACAGCCGAGCTGGGAGAGACAGTCAAGCTGGCCTGCAAGGTGACAGGAGCTCCCAAGCCATCCATCAGCTGGTACAAAGGTATGAGCAGCAGGGCAGGAAATCTGCTCCCAGCCCATATTGCTGTGGAAACTGGTCAGTGGGTAATCCAAGAGCTGATCCCCTAGAGATACTCAAATCTGGAGACTGTGTTTTTGGGTGTTTTGGGTGTGCTCCTTTAGCTGGAAAAGCAGAATTATCACTGCACAGAATGTACTCTGGCATAATTTCACTTTTAAATGAGAGCAGTGGTGATGTATGGGGCTCTTCAACAGTACTTTGTCCTGGATGATGTTTCACGGAGAGCTGGAGGAAGAGCTGATTCCTCAACTACCAACATCAGCTGCAGTAATACAGCTCTCAGCCCCCTCAGGATGACAAGCAAAAGGATGAAATTCCTAAGGAGGAAACTCTTAGTAAACAATTTTAAAATAAATTTCTCTTTCAGATGGAAAGCCAGTGGAGGTGGATCCCCATCACATCATAATAGAAGATCCTGATGGTTCCTGCACACTGATCTTGGACAACCTGACAGGGGCTGACACAGGACAGTACATGTGCTTCGCTTCCAGTCCTGCTGGGAATGCCAGTACCTTGGGAAAGATCCTTGTTCAAGGTAAAGTCTTGCACAAATGCAGTAATTTAAGGGGGTCTAATACCTCAAACTTGTACCAGCCATGGTGTGACCAGCAGGACCAGGGCAGCCACTGTCCCCTGTGCTGGCACTGCTGAGGCACCTCCAGTCTTGGGGTTGGTTTTGAGACTTCCATGACAAGAAGGACATTGTGATGCTGGAGTGTGTCCAGGAAGGGAGCAGAGCTGGGGAAGGGGCTGGAGCACCAGGAGAGGCTGAGGAAGCTGGGAAAGGGGTTCAGCCTGGAGAAAAGGAGGCTCAGGGGGAATCTCTGGCTCTGCACAACTCCCTGACAGGAGGGGACAGCCAGGAGGGTTGGGCTCTGCTCCCAGGGAACAGGAAGAGGAGGAGAGACAACAGCCTCAATCAGCACCAGGGAAGGTTTAAATTGGAGATTAGGGAAAATTTCTTCACCAAAAGTGTTGTCAACCTCCAGAACAAACTTCTCATGGAAGTGGTGGAGTCACCATCCCTGGAAGAGCTCAAAAAACATTTAGGTGTGGCACTTGGAGATGTGGTTTACTGTTGGCCTTAGAAGTGTTAATGGCTGGACTCCATGACCTCAGAGGTCTTTTCCAAACTAAATGATCCTATGTTTCTATGATATTCCAAATATTAAGACATTCTATACAACATATACTGGATAATATTTAAAAAAAAAAAAAAAAAGAAAATATGTACAGGTGCAGGCAACTGTTTTTAGGCCAAAACATTTTGTCTTTAGTATCCTTTAGATGCACTTAGAGAATAGAGAATTATCTGGTCAGGGACACGCCCTTCCTACCTGTTTGTATTTCCAGCTACCAGTCACATTTACCTTTGCATTTTGCAGTGCCCCCTCGGTTTGTGAACAAGGTCAGAAATGCTTATCTTGTCGAGGGTGAAGATGTCCAGTTCACCTGCACTGTGGAAGGAGCACCCAGGCCTCAGATCAGGTCAGTCCTACAATTAATATGGGTACAAATCCTGGTTTCCCATTTTGCATAGTCAGAAAAGTAATTTTGAGTTTATGACCCTTTCTTTACTGTGTCTTCCATCTTTACCCCATGCCAGTGCTGGCTCTTCATGGTCCAGGCATTCCTGAGATTCTCAGCAGTTAATTTTAGCTAGAGTTTGAAAAGAAATACCCACAGATAGACTCTGAGGAGGACTGTCCAATCTAAACCCCTGGAAAACATTTTATCATTGTTTATACTCCCTGCCTTACACCTGACTTGATTTTATCAGGTGTTCAGACAAAAGCTCAGCAAATCTTGTGATCATTTAAATCCCTTTTTCCTGTACTGACTGAGGAGATCTCTTGGGAAGAATGTCATAAATGTTGCAGTTTAATACTCAGGTGTGATCTCCCCACCTGCAGCCCTCCCTTCCAGGATCCAAACATTTCTCTAAGGACTAACTCCTGAGTTGTTTGATGGATGGATCAATGGTCTTGGAGACCTCTTGACGCTGCATAATTTTTCCTGGCTTATAGTCCATGTTTTCCCACTCAGATGGTACAAAGATGGGGTGCTGCTGAAGGACACCGGTAAATACCAGACTTTCAGTGAACCACGGAGTGGCATCGTAGTCCTGGTGGTCAAGAACCCTTCCAATGAAGACATGGGGCACTATGAATGTGAGGTAAGTCAGGAGAGATTTAAGTATCTTCCATCTGAAATGATACAGGCAGGAGAGTTCATTTCACTGGGAATGACCCATGGCTGAGTAATTGCTCATAGAAATACTATAGAAATTCAGGCTGAGCTAGATCTGGAATGTGAATGTCCAAAAGCTTCAGAATATTCTGATCTGACAGTTTGTTGGTACCAGTAAGAATTGATGGAGCTCGTTCTGGAGCTTAAACTCAGATCCAGGTCTTTAGAGTAAACTCTTACAAAATTTGGGACAATTCTGATGTGATATTTTGTTTCTGGACTGTCTTTAAATTATGACTAAGAAACCCTCCAGAGCCAAAAGAAAGAAATTAAGTCTAAACAGAAGGATAAACCACTGGAATTCCTGTTTTGTTTACCAAACATCCATGGAAGTAGCTGATAAATATTTCAAAATATAAGATATTTTATGAAAATTTGGCATAGTCTATGCATTCATAGTAACAAAACAGAAATAAGTTCTGAGGATTTGGCAATAAAATAAATTTGTCTTGGTTTAAGAAATAAGCATGGGTCAGCTGCTCCATGGTAAAATGGTTCAGCTCAAGGAAACATTTAGGGAGTTTCATATACCTGAAAGAATTCTACTGGAATTTTAGCAAAACCAGACTACCCTGCATTTGCCATTGACTAAGATCCTAAGGTCCAATATTCCCAGTATACTAAATAATTATTGGATGATAAAACAGAAAAAAAATCCTCTTTAATGGCCCTCTAAGTATGTGCACAGCAGGAATCTGGGCCTGTTGGTAGAGACAGAGTTACCCCCGGAGCAACTCCCAGGCTACAGAGCAAGCACCCAATAATTAAGTAAATAAGTTTGCTGATGTGCAGTAACTTGTCTTGTGAGTAATTTTTGGTAAAAGCCCAAGAACTCCACTGAGCAGCAAAGTGTCCCTTCAAACTCCAGCTTGCACTGGGGTCGCACCTTCACCCATTTCTGTCATCACTGAACTTTCAAAGGTAGCACAGGCAGGGGTTTATCATGACAAAAAACATGCTGTGTTTCATTTGGCCCTGCACAATTCTCTTCAGCTGATGAACAGATTAGGGTCTGCCAAAAGTGGAGCAGAGCTTTACCACCACAGCGCCGCAGCCCTGACCCAGGAGAGGAGAGGAGACCAAGCCATCACCATTGAAGGTACGACCCTTGCCCAGCTCCGTACGTACGCCAGCCAATTCCCCTAAAAACAATGAGGATCCAGTATCTTTTGCCATCTTATCCATGTTGGTTGTTGGTGTCCGTGTATCTGTGCGTCTCTGGAGATGTGCATGGGCACAGGGCAGCTCGGCTCCGTGCCCATCATCATCTGTTGATTTCCAAGCCTGGCAAATCAACTTCATATAATGCTCGTGAATGCGTTATATGAAAACGGAGGAGCAAATGAAGGGTTTGTCACACCACCACTAGAGCAAAAAGAAATGCTATGTGTTGTTGGAATATTTGAAAATGTGTGTCAGCCTGGCAGAAATGCTACAGGGGCCACTAAGTAAAGGTGGAGGCATACTGTGATTGTTCTAGAATACCACTGAGGGACATCAGGGATGACTTTGGAAAGCAGAACTGACAGCAGTGTGTCCTGAGCAATGGTTAGTTCATCCATTATTTAGGACTGTCCAGGGATAGTCATAGAGACTGTTGCTTTTTTTTTTCTGGCAGTTTCACTTGGTATTTGGTAGGGCAATAAGAATTGATTTTACACCCATCCAAAATTGCATCTTTCTTCACAACTTTTAATCATTACTGCCTAAAGTTCCCTGCTGATCCCAGGGATTTCCACACAAGAGTGTGTTAGCTGTAAACCCATCACAGCCCAGTTTAAATCCACGGCTACATCTCCCTAGGGAGCATTTCCTGGCACAGGGAATTTGTTCCTGGTACATCTTGTAAATGTCCTTGTGTGGCTGAGTGTGAGCCAGCCAGTCCTGTCTCTCTTGAACAGCTCCCAGTGGCAGCTCAGCAGATGAGACAGCCAAGGGACCACCTTTAATAGGTTAGGGACAGATTTGGAGAGCAAGAGAGAGGATGTGGACAGGCACAGGCCTTTTCTTGCCAGCAAACCTTGGTTTCACAGGCCTCTCCCAGATGTGGATGGTGGAGACACTCCCAACAAAAGCCAGAGTTTTGCCAACAGCTCTAGGACCTTCTTTCCTCAGTTTTGGTGTTTCCACACTGTCTTGTGATAATAACAGGAGTTCCAGAGCGTGTTGGAAAGGGTATTATTGACATTATCAATGTCCACCACGAGGCAGTGTTCTGACTCGTGAAGCTGCTGGGCAGAAAATGCTGCAGTCTGGAAAAATATTCAGGGATAAATGATCCTCTACTCATATTTTTTCATCACTTTCTACAGTCTTCTGCCCTTGGCCCTGTTTGAGACAGGACCCTGGTCTGGCAGGACCTTTGGGCAAGTCCCCTGTAGACACAAATGTGCTATTACATTTAGAGGCTTCATCCACAATAAATTATTAAGATTAGCATCCTGATCTATGAACTTTCTTGACTTCATTTGAAACATGTTTTCCTTTTAGCTCTTTCTCAGAGTGCCATCAAAAAGCATTACAGGGAGGATGGTGTAAGTGTAGAATCACTATAATTTTTTCAGCCAAATAAACCTTCAAGTACTCGAATTCTTTGTCTTTTCTATGCCCCAAAGAGAGAAAAATAAGTTGTGTGCAGGATGTAGAAGAACACAAAGAAATCCCTGTCAGGGTGGTGTATCTTGATGAAGTTCCCTTCAGGCAGACGTTATAAAAGAAAACAAGGGTTGTATAAAATGTTAGGAGCATTTTCAGCTCTGGGGGTTGCAAATGTGTATGTTCAGCCCAAAATTCCTCATCTGCTGTTATTCCTATGATCATAAACAAACAAACAAAAAAAACCTGTGAGCTTGGTTACAGAAATATAATTGGAGTTTTCCTGGAAGCTTCAGAAATGTCATGAAATAGGTTTATTCTGTGATGTGCAATTGTTTGAACTCCGTAATAGGGAAGAAAATAGATCCCTGAGTCATCTCCAGGGAGAAACAGGGGGAGAGCTGCTTCAGGCCAGTGGAGAAAATAGGCTCATCCATGAAGCAAGAGGATTGTTGTGAGCAGAATCGCACCAGGGATGAATTTGGCACAATGCACTTGACCGAGGAGGGAATTCGTTGCTTTCTTGAGAATCAATAACCAGCCTTGATCTACCTGGGGAAAAATCAGGTTCATCTGGCAGAGAACTGGAGGACAGGTGGATCTCATGAAGGCTATCTCTTTCCATCCTCAAAATCCTTCCTATTTGTGAAAATGGGAATACTTGTAACTTCACCAAGAGGACAACATTACTGCTCTCACAACAGGAAATAGATACCGTGCCTGCTTCCTGGCTCACCTGCACCCTGGGTCTGATTTATCTCTGTTCCTGTGAAATGATTGTCTGAGTCTCATGAGGCACCCAAAGGGCAACTATTTTAGTTTTTATCCTCCTGCCTTTCTGTACTGTTTATTCTGCTGAACCAAACCCACGGTTTAGGATACCATTAGTCCAGTGGTTTATGAGCCCTGACCTGCAGCTGGTGATGGTCCACAGCCCAAGACCGTGGGTATCAAAACCAAAATTCTTTGGCTTAAATTCACACTATGGGAGTTTGCAGGTCCCTTGGATGGACCAAATCCAAAAAGGATGGAAACCACTGGACTAAGGGATCCCGTGTGAGCTGAGATCTGCCTTCAGCCACACCTGGTCGCTGCACTGAAGTCAATGGAGGGTTGCTCAAAAAAATCCTCTTTCTGTGGATATTGGAAGAATTTGAGACACTTTAAAAAAAAGTGTAGCTGAAAGAAGATCCTTCTCTTTGACTTCCAGTTGACTGTGTCTGCTTTGCACCTTGCTGCTTAACCTGTACACGGCACACCTGGGCTGATGTGCTCTGGCATGTTCTGGTGTGATTTACCCATCCAGGCTCACTAACTTGATTATTTGTTAGGGAAAGCAAAGCCCAGTGCCTTGGAAAGGTGTTGCATTTCCACATGGGTGGGCAGGTCAGGACCTAGAAGGAGACAGTCGATACAAGGGGAGGAGTCAGGTACAGGAATGGAGATAAAGCCATAAATAAAAATTCCCAAAGCAGCTGCAGCCAGGCAACAATAATTCCTTCACATCTTTACCTTAGATTTCATGCAGAGCCTTGTCATGTTCTTCAGCTGCCTTGTAGGAGCCACCTTGTTAAAAATCAGCAGAATTTGAAGTTCTCACAATAAAGATTTAAAATACAGAGGAGGATTAGATCTCTTAGTGTTACTGACGAAATAGGGCACAGGAGTTTGTCCCCAGGCCATTTGGATGTTGCCTGATTGGGGTATTTACCTCATTATTTTTATTCTCTTATCACCATGGTTTAGTCTCATTTTTGGCCAGGCCACAGGGTTTTCAGTGCAAATTCAGGAGAGCCCCATCTGCCTTTGAAACCGTGTCAGTCACTGCAGGAGTGGAGCCTTTTGCTTGTTTGGGTTTGGGGGGGTTTTGTTTGTTCAGGTTTCAGTGGGGTATTTTTAAGAGAGATCCCAAAACACTTCCATTTCATTCTTAAAATTAAAAAATCCCTCTTATATCCATGAATTGAGCCACCAGCCCTGGAGGGATTTCAAAGACCCATGGATGTGGCACTTAGGGACAGGGTTTAGTGGTTTAGTGGTGAAGGTGGCACTGCTGGCTTAGCAGCTGGATTCAACGATCCCAAGGGTCTTTCCCAACCTCGATGATTGCAGGAATTGCTCCTTTTAGGATTAGTTTTAGCAGTTCTTGTCAGGTTTTGCAGACTAGTCTCCAGAAGTGTAGCAGAAGGAGGTGAAAACAGAGCAGTGCTCCTCTGGTTCATGGCAGCAGTGTGAACTGGGGAGAAAAAAATAGGTTTAAGCTTCTGTGAGTGGAGAAAAGAGACTTAAAAATTGTAATAAAGGCCATAAATAACCTTCCATCCATTCAGAGCAAGGAGAACTCACTTATCCTCAGTGTTCCATCACTTGTTGGCCAATGTTTTAATCTATTAACCCAAGAGATGTCTGGTCCTACAAAAGCACTGGCTGTCCCTAATGCTTACAGCTTTTAACCTGCTTATCAGGGGCTCCTGCTTTGCAAAGCTGTTTGCCTAAAATGCTCTTGAAAAGTTGAAATGATAAATCCGGTGCTAAAAATGGATGCAGAATATTTTCCTCTCGGGGAAAACAAAAAAAAAACACAAAAAAAAAACCCCAAAAAGCAAACAAACAAAAAGTAAAAGAAACTCAAATTCTCTCATCCTACTTTCGTGTGGTTCTATCCTTCAATATAGGATTGCTCAAATCCTCCCTCACACCTCAGACAGTACATATACAATTTATTAAATGCTATTTTCAGCTTTCTCATCCCAGGCCTGCTGAACTTTTATTAGTAAAGAATATTCAATATTTATATATTGAATCTCTTTGGCATCCACTACAAATATAAATATCACAGTTGGTGTCATTTGAGAGGACTGCAAGAACAGACATTTATAGAGCAACCATCAAAGAGACTTTTTCTTATAGACACTGTGAAATTTCATTAAATTTATTCAACTATTTAGTTTATATTACCTAATTCTCATCCAAATACACTCACTGCTAAAATAATTGTAGAAAACAACTGTTTTTCAGGTGTATAATCCAATTAATTAAAACATTTCAATCAGAACACCAGAATTTTTACTCATATACTCGCTGCATATGGATGAATTCCATAATATTATTTAATGAGATGTTCTAAAAGTTATTTGAAAATTGCAGAATAGTGATTTAAAAATTCAGTGAGAATCTCCAACCTGAGTGTAGTAAATTGTTTGAGCACTCAGTTCATCTGCCATCACAATTATTATCATTCCACCATTTAAAACAAGGTTTGAGTTGTTTAAAACAAGATGTTGATTAAGGATAGGTAAATGGTTTTATTGCAATTGTGTCCAGGGATAAATATTTGAAAATAATTTTGCTCTTTACTTACCCAGTTAATGTAAACTCAAATTTCCAAACAGACTCTGTTGAAACTCACCCAGTTCTGCAGTAACTCCTTTGAATCTCTGGGAAATGATTCCAGATTTTTATAGGCATAAACAAGACAAGGTTCTGCAAAAGAAACATGAGCTC